ACTGTCATCTGAAAGTCGAATGCCATTAGTAGAGGTAAAAACTAAGTGGTTTAGAAGCTTATAGTAAAGTGTTAAGTTTAGTCTCAGGCGTCTTAGCCATAGTGTTTCTAATCCTAGGGTGTCACATCTAGTGGAGTAGTTCGCACCATTTTCGGTTCCGAGTAATTTTGACGTGAAGTACCTCTGCACTCCCTCGACTTTCAATTTGTCCTCTATGCGTATACTACTATACATGAATGAACAGTAATCAAATAAAGGACGCACACAAACCTTGTACAACAGAATTCTGGACTCATTTCTGTAAAAGTTCCTGAGTAGAAAGCCGATAAGTCTGCGTGACTTTGACACTTGTTTGGAGATATGTTCAGAAAATGATAAGTCATGTGAGTATTTCAGTCCTAGGTCCAATACAGATTCCAGTCGTAAGAGTGCATGGCCTTGAATTGTCAGGTCAAGTTCTAAATTGTTGCAACCTATGCAGAGCCAGCCACATTTGTCGACATTAAACTGGAGTTGCCAGGTGTCACACCATCTATCCATTTTTTCTAATTCTTGCTGTATGGCGTTTACTGTTATTCCGAGATCTGTGTTCTTGCATTTATAGGTCACTTTTAAGTCATCTGCATATAGTATTGGTTTACCAACACTAAAGCATTCACAGATACTGTTTATATATATTGTGAATAGGAGTGGGCCTAATACACTTCCCTGGATTACACCACTACTTACTGGTTTAGGCCTTGAGATTATCGAGCCAACTTTTGTTATCTGATTCCTGTCACAGAGAAATGATTTTATCCAGCTCAGGAGAGGGTCACATATCCCTAGTGAGCATAACCTGCTGCCTAGCAGATTATGGGGGACTCTATCGAAGGCTTTTGTTATATCGAAGTATAGCACAATTACTAGTTCTCTGTTGTCCCTGCTTCGTGTAACTTCATTGAAAAAGTCAATAAATGGAGTTGGTGTCTTAACAGCAGATTTTAGGGGCGCGATTGTGTCTCTTGCTGAGCCAACTGTTTTGTAGAAAATCTCAAGTGATACTTCTAAGTTATTGTTGATGAAGTATTCTTCCCAGTCAGAACTTCTCAACAGATCTGATAGGAATTCCCAATCAGCATTCTTATAGTCCCTATATTGATAGCGCACCGGGGAATTTTTAGGTGTGTATTTAGTTGTTAGTCGGAGGGGTGGCGTGCAGTACAATATGTTGTGATCACTGTTATCGAGTTTATTTCCCACCTCTATCGAGATGGGCTCTATGTTATGACAGAGGATTAAGTCAAGAGTATTTTGGTTCCTTGTAGGGAGGCGTACGCACTGCTTCCATCCTCCTATGTCTATAGCTTGTAGTAGCTCTTCATGGATTCTTGGTCCTGTACAGGTATCCCAGTTTACTCCAGGTAAGTTGAAATCTCCACATACTACTTTGTAGTCGAAGTCCAGCGTGGCTACATGCTCTAGTATTTCTGCAATAGTTATATCAGCCATTTCAGGGCTATTGGGGGGTCTGTATATACATCCCACGAGAATTTTACTTTCGTTTGTGTGGATGCTTATCCACTTAGATTCTGGGAGTTTGTCAGTATTTGGGTTATTGAAAGTATTGGAGTTAGTGGATTTATAGGCATATATTAAGCAACCGCCTCCTCTTTTGTCAACTCTATCGTTCCTATAGATGTCGTAGTTGTCTATTACTAGCTTTGTGTCAGGTATATCAGTAGTAAGCCAGGTTTCAGTCACCATTATTAGTGTTGGCCGTTCTATGTATGCCAGGCAGCGAAGCGTTGTTATTTTATTAAGGAGAGATCTAGCATTCAGGAGCATAATTGTTAGTAAACCAGAGTTATTGGGGGAGAGGTTAACACGGTTACTTGTTACTATCCCTACGTTATGTTTGGAGGGGCTCTGAGGTGAGACAGAGTCAGTGTGTGTACTATTTCCTGGATGAACTGTGCAGCGAGTGGGGCTATTGTTTGCTGCAGCCGAAAATAATCCTGTTGCATATTTTGACTATTAGCATCCATGGGTCGGCATCTGCGTTGATCTACTGGTGATATATGGTCTGCCCTGCAATTTGGGTTGTAGTTTGCTGGACCTAGGTACCCTGTGTTAAGATTACCCTGGTAGTTGTACCTCATGGGGCTTTCATAGCCGTATGCATATTGGCTCACGTCACGTGTGTGAGTGAAGTTATTGAGGGGATCAAGTGTCGACCTGTTCTCATTATGTTGATGAGGTTTAACATAGATAGTGCGAGAGTTTGGACGAGAATTTTCGTTAATATGGTGCCTATATGAGTCCCGTTTAGTGCTCCATATATCCTGAGGATCCATTCTACGTTGCATTCCCAAGTTATGTGCGTTGTTAGGCATGTTACTTCTAGTTCGGGAAGGGGTATTCCTTCTCACATGCTGCGTGACGTCTTTGGGAATGTGCTTCGTTACCCATGCTTTGTCATTTTTTAGACTGACACGCTGCTTATTAGACTTATTACGAGGGAGGTATGTCGAAGTCTGGGGTGGGACTCTGGGTTTTGTGGTCTTTTTTGCGGTTTCTACTGAGGGACTCTCTGGCTTGGATCCAGATTGAGTGTGGTCTGCCAGTAGTTTCTGGTCAGCCATAGTTTGTGCGTCTATGTCAACCTTATGTAGGTCAGCAGGTTTTCGAGATGTGCTCTCGTGCACTCTAAGATTGCACCCAGTGGCACTGCTCTTACTGAGTTTTGGGTCGCTCTTACTTGCCGTTTTTTCTCCTAACACTATACACGTGACTTGCTGTGCTTCAGTGTCCGTCGACACTTTAGCACTGATACCAGATGTATTTCTCAGTGTTGTCAACTTTGTATCGAAGGAGTTCTTGGTTGCTTGCCTTTGGTTTGGTGTTTTATCCGAGACTACTTTAATAGTCTTGAATTTAGTGGCAGTAGCCAGAAGATCTTCGGCCATCTTAAATCGTTCAGCTGTTATGTAGCTGTCGAACCTAAAGAGTATAGGACAAGGATGCTTTAGGTCTTTTTTGCTTAGGCGAATGCACTGACAAGGTGCATTCAAGAGATTTGCAGCCTTCAGCAATGAGTGCTGGACTGACTTTATGGGCTCGCTATCCGGTACATTATACACTATTGCGTTTTGTTTTGAAGCCAGCCTTTTAACAACTTCGCTGGATAGAAAGTCGATGGCGTTTTCTAACTCCTTCGCACTTTCTGAGTCAGTATGAGTCATTCTAGAGGTCATATTAAAAAGCTTTAGGATTGTAGGATCCTGCAGTTCCTTTTTCATACGTGAGATAGTTTCGGGTATACATTCTAGTGAACTTAATTTCGTTTTTAATTCATCTATCTGTAGCTGCATCTCTTTAATTACGCACGTTAAGTAAGAGAGCTCTACTTTTTCAGACAGAACATCTTCCACATGTGCGTCTGTGGCACAGTGGTTAGGACTCTCGCCGACCATGCGCATGGTCCAGGGTTCGGGCCCGCACCGACGCACACCTGCTATCTATGGTCGGCCTGCAAAATTTGGGCTACCTGATATCCATGCTGAAAATTCCATACTTGTACCAAAAATACAGTGTGGAATCAAGCTGTAAATCAAAAATTAAAATTAAATTAAATTACAGGGGTCAGAGTTATGTTCGAGGCTTTTATGTTGGGTGAACTACTAATAATATAGGGTGGTAATGTGTTATTAGACGAGCCGGTGCCATTTTCTAAATTAGTGGTGTTCACACGAACACGCTTTTTAGAATTTTGTACCATCGTTATTAAAGATCAATTATTAGTAACCAATAAATGAATATAAGCGAAAACACGTGCAAAAGCGTCACCTGATTCGAACGTACCGGGCGAGTAGTAGTCCTGTACTGAATGACTCTGTATGAATAATTGTATACTAATTAGCTAATTGTTTTAGTTGTCCTAAGTTTTTGAGAAAATGAAAGAATCAAAAGTAAATAAAGTGAGTTTAGCCACTGCGCACGTTGACCGCTATGCCTAAAGTATTTTGGAAGTCATTTTTCATCTGTAAACTTTGTGGTGAGTTTTTCTTAGTTGCACTGCCACCCAATAGATACTGAATCGCCACCGACAAAGTTAAATTTTATAATATAAGGTTTCACAAAGTGTCGTCAAATAAAAAGGGTGGTGTTTTGGAGAACTTCAGTACTACAAAATATGCACGTTTTTAGAAATTCGTGGTGTGCCCTCTACACTTCCGGGTTTATTATTTTCTAAACTTCACTATCAGTTAAAGTTAGTACTCAATAATGAACCGAAAAACAACCGATGATAGTGATGGTAACCAACCACACATCATAAAAATTAATATTTAACCAGCTATGGTACTGGTTAGCCAGGGATAGAATCCCGAACCACATGTGGGATAGGCGAGCATTCTACTTCTGTGCCACTGACGCACAAACATGCTGTAGTGGTAGGAAATTTCCCAGAATTATTAGCCACAGCATTCATCAATGAACACCGGGTGCTGACCCTCACGATTTTATTCAATTTCTTTTGCCTAAGGCCTACGATCACACATTCACGCAATTTAGCAAGCCATTATGTTACGCTCGTTCGTGCACGATCCCTAGCCAGTTAATTATTTATCCGACTTGGTTTCGTAACATAGTTCGTCATTTGACCGATCATTCCTTTTGTTTAGCTTTGTATTTGATCTACGCGGAACGAATTTTAGAGAAGTTTAGAATATAAGATCCTGAGTTTGTATACTTCCTACTGCACTTGGACGTCAACACCCTCAGCCTCCAAAATACCAAATAAAAAAGACATAATGGCCACGCTTATATGTTATGGGTTCGTTCACATTAACTGTGCATTACCTAATGATAAAAGAAAAAGTCACATTTGCTAAACTGACCTAGTATCAGTTTGTTTAAGCCAGTGCACGGCAATAACCTTTTGAGTCCACATTCAAAAGTGTAAACAAGTTACTCGTGTTGTGACTTCATATGGATTGGCAGATGTAAAGCGAATCACTATGAATCGTAATGTCCATGATTCTGTACTTTGCTTCAACAGTACTCGTGACAGTTCAGTGGATTCTTCTAAGTCTGGTCGTCATGATTGTTTTGAATTTGACAGTAATTTAAAGACGATGGTTACAGAAAAAGAGCGTCGTCATGCGTAAGTATTTTACTAACCTTTATTTACGAAACGAGTTGTGGATTTAAAGTGAGTATAGGACCGTATGATTTAATATCTGTAGATATGTTATTGCACAAGATGCTCCTCATGGGGTATTGTTATTGTACTTTCCGAATGCAAGGTCAACTCTAATTTTAATTTTGTGAGACCAAGATTATTAACCAGTTCCTATTTCGTTATCCATATGAGTACGTCATCGCCCGTGCCCTCTCGTTCTCAGGTGAATACACCATGTAGCTTAATGCTTAGGTTCACAAACGTTTCACTAGGATTTTAGCGTCAGCTTTGAGTTCGTTACTTATTTATAACCGCTTTTATAAGATGCACTAACTGATTAAATGTCGGGCATTGTCTTACGAATTGTTCCAATATTAGAACAACACTAGAATAGATATTTTTCTAGTCTGGTGTTAGTGACAACCTTTGAGTAATATCCTATCCTGTCTTTCCAGTATCCTGTATCCTTCTAACGTGCCAGTGTGAATGAAACTGATTTTCTGGGCTTGCCTCTTGGTTTTAAGCTAAAGGTCTTTAACCTTCGTCAACTTTTCATGTCGTTTGTCCCCCAATTTGACTGCCTTTGCTTTGGTTGACTCCTAGGGGTCTGGTGTGGATATCGCTTGTATGAAGTTTGTAGGATGTGAGTTAAGATCGTGATCCTGCTGTGAGTGGAGTTAATCTTTTTAGTCATTAGTCGTCCGGCGCATTGTAAAAAGGGGATAATAAAGATAATTAGAGGGAGTTGCGTGGAATTAACAAGTGAAACGAACAAATAGATAATGAAATTTAATAATTAAAAAGCAAGTGGATGGGTGCGTAGAGTATTCAGAAGGATGAGATAGGGAAGAGTGGGCAAAGGACAATTTTAGATGATGCATATTAATAGAGTAGAGTTTCAAGGGGATAGTCCATTTCGGCACAGTCCCTGTGTTGCTGCACAGTTATTCAGCCGCCAGGAACAGTAAACACAACTGCTGATAAAGAGTTTGAGGTGGAAAACTTAAAGCAAAAGTAAATATGATCCCAATCAAGTCTTTGGTCTCTGATAGGTTATCCTTCTTGGGTTGCCACGAGGATGTCCTTAATAACCTAATGGCAGGATCTGTCCATTCATTTATTGCATTGGTTCATAACGAAACTAAGTTTTAAGTGAATTTCAGAATTAAAATGTTAGTTGGTCTGATTTCGTCTCATCATAAAGAGTGAAGACACTTGTCACTCCTGTAACCAGTGTTTATCGTCAAAGAATTGTTGTGGTTCAATTGCCTGCGAATTCCTTACTTGCTTTACTGCATACTTTGAGCAAATATTCGTGTAAATCTATTGAGGTGGTGTGGAAAAGTTCTTCATGTCAGCAAACATTTGGCCAGTCAACAAACATTTAGGTGTTTCAAGTAAAATTCTGAAATTCTAACTGCATTTGTCTGACTCATTATCAAAGGAACCATTGCATTTTTTGGATAATTTAAGATGATATGAAAATCAACAATTGTTGCGCTTTTGGCTGGCTGTATGTAGCATAACTAGAGCGTTAACCTTGGTTTGAAATAATTAAAAGTTGTAGCGGCAATTAATTCCGCTAAATTACTAACCTACTGCTTTCATCTTTCAATACTGGGTGCTGACCCTCACTGGTTAGGATAGGGATACGTGGTCAAACTTCCACATCATTTTGCATGCTGTCGTGTTACGTCCAGTTATTTGGACTTAAGCTAGCTAAATAGATACTATCGCTCTGCATTTCTGATCCAGAGGTATATTTCGTATTTCGGCTAGTTAATTTGTTACAGGATTGATCACGAGGTGACATCAGTTAGAGAACCATTGGAAAACCTGGGAGTACTGTACAACTGTTTCGTCCAGTACGCACCCGCCGGGGCTCGAACCCCAGGACCTCCCAGTTACGAGGCGAGCTCGTAGACTACTAAGCCATGGGGGCTGAACCCAATGGTCTATGAATTCCAACTTCAGAGGGGTCCACCAATTCAGGCAAGATGACTGTTTCTGGCTCGTGACAGTGGCTGGCGGTTGCGCTAAATATGTGTCACGAATTGGCAGAATTTGGAATTCATGGGCAATTGGGTCGGGTTCGTGTGGCTTAATGGTCTACGAGCTCGCCTCGTAACCGGAAGGTCCTGGCTTCGAACCCTGGTTGGCGCGTGCTGCTGAAGAGTCCCGGACCAAAAATGAAACAGTTGTCCAGTACTCCCCAGTTTTCCATCGGTTTTCTAACTGATGTTACCTCGTGATCAATCCTGTAACCAATGAAATCCCTGCAAACCAAAACTTGATAATTAATTTTTTGTTTTGATTTGACTTCCAAGTGGATGTCTGGTCTAATTAGGATAAGTACATTGGGTGTTGGAAGATACACACATGGATTCATACTTAATGTATATTCTGTACCTGTCAAAATCCTTCATCTGTTAAAAGTTTTTCAAGTAACTGTGTTTTGTAAGCAGCTTCTGGTATTAATATGTAATAGTTATTTTTAAGCATCTGAAAGTCATTCTTCATTCAATCCTCAAAGGCATTAACCTCAGTATTACTTCGACTGTGGATGTCTATATGGTTCATTTCATTTCTGTGTAGATATCTTGTACTGCTCACGGAATGCTACTTGTCATTCACCAGAGATTATATAAGATTTACTAAAAAATGTCCTGCTAATTTTACAGATTTTGTCACAGATACATTTTAAATATCTTTTGTTAGGTTTCTCCTCCAACTTTCTGAAGTTTTCTTTATCGAAGTTATTCGCTAATGTACTGTACTCCCTTCAACTGTGTGTATTGATATCATTCTATTGTTGTAACGGTATCCTTTACTTCTATCAATGTAATAGCTTTGTAGATGCCCTAAATAATTGCTCTCTGTCTTTTATGTCACGGAAACCTATCGCGTTTTATTCAAACTCAAGTAAGTAGAATTTTAAAAAAAGCTAAAATGATCTGGTTGTATAATTAATGGTTTAAATTACATTGAATAGTGAACGCAGACAGATAACAAAGCTTATGTAACCCAGTCAGCTAAAAATAATTTTTCCAATATTTACTTACTCTATTTATTTATTCAAAGTAGCTTTGTACTTGCGCAATTGATAATTTATAAAACCTGAAACCTATGCCCATCCAATGTACTTTTCACCATTTTAACTAAATGCACAAAATATTCGACAGTAGAGTTAGATAGAAGTTTACAAATACTAGAAAGGTTTTGATATTAATCTCTTTCTGTAACACCTAAGCTCGAATAAAGTGGTTGTCTGTTTTCTTTCCTTGAACTCAGGATTAAAACAATAAGTTTGACCTTTACCTTTTTGTAAGATATCCCTCCAGTATCTGAATTTTCGGACTCATTTCCTTCTTTAATACGGTTTCTCATAGCGATTAGGAAACTGAAGTCAGACTTTAAAGTTAGTTACTCATATTGTTCGACTATCACTGGGGTATTTTTTCCTTGACAACCGGTGTGCCTGTCTTTCAGAATCATAGAATTTTCTAAGTGTTTCACTTTATGGCATCTTGGTAGTATGATTTTTAAATGAATAGGTTTTTAAATTTCATTTGTTTGTTACTTATGGATCAGTTTAAGGTGAATTTAACGTTATTACGTTTTGCTTTTTGATGTTTAGAAAATAGCTTTAGCAGTCATATGAGCTATTTACTACTTGACAGTTGAAGTAATAATACACATTACTCTTAGATTTCTATTGTCCCATTGAAATAATGGTTATTTTACTGGGGTGGAGATGATTCACGCAAGTTATCAAGAAAACGGTTTGATTGACACCTTAAAGTTTGAGTTAATCGAATAAATTACAAAACCTGTCAATAAAGGAAAATGTTTGAACAGTAGATTTTTAATTCAAATTGAACTTTTTAAAAAATTAAGTTCTCGATGGTACTTAATGGTACTTGCATATTTCTAGAAATTTCAGGATTAGTTGTTTCTTGCTTCGAATGAGTTCGTAAATATAACCTTTTAAATCAATCACAGTAACATGTGTAGTTTTATGGAATGAAAGACTAGGACCGTTTGACTTCTGACTGTGTTGTGAATTCTATAGGACTGAGTTCGATGGTTTCTATTTATTTGGCAAATTTTCTGTTTAAGTGGGTTGTATAACGAACGAAAGAACCATTTTAATAGCAGAGTTGTCTTGTGTATAAGGGAAATGTTATAGAGTTCTCTATACTGTTAACGAGAAAAAGTATCCATCTAACTTAACCAGTTATCTAAACTCTTCTCTTACATTTTTGCTTCAAGGATCCCTATTTCGCATGACTTACATGAAACTAATCTATTGAAGAGTAAGTGGTTTTCAGCAATTGTCAACAACATTAATATCTTCCATTCTGTTTAACGTTTCACGAAGATGTCTGTAGATTGTCATAATATAAGTTGTCATTATAAGTTAGGAGATTACGTATTCGACCTAAAAGTGCTGTTGATATGGAACATCTGTCAACAGTGTCAGTTAAGTGCAATGCATTAATAGTTTCATAGTAGATACTGGTATCAGTAAAGTTATCTAAGATATTCGTAGTTCGGCAGAAGAATCGAAGGGCTGATGGATGAAGTCTTCCGAATTTCAAAGTTCTACTCTAACTTGATTCATTATTCCATAAGCAACTGTTATTTTGTTCCTAGTTATCGTCAGTACGAACCATATCTAAGAGTTTCAGGTATTCTGAGACAGTCTACAGAGTTCATGGTATCTTAACGAAATTATAACAAATGACATAACTATTTTTTTATTTCCACCGAGTTTAGTTTATCACTTCAAATGTCTTAGATGTTTCTTTATGGTTTTAAAGTTTTTTTGATAGTTGTGTTCTGTGTGGTGGATTGTTTAGTCGCAAATCGTCCACTTGTGCTACAAATGTCCACCAACAGGTATGAATGACTGAGCAGTGTCTTTAGCCTTCTATAATAATCTTTTCTCGTAGTTGTATGCTTCCCCACTGCTCATCACAGTAATGCACTCAATGTAGTGTTACAAAGCAATTCGTTCTTCGTGTTATGCTTCGTTCCAACAATCATTTGAACCTTCAGGTCCCGGCGGGACTTATGGAGACTGTGCAGCGCCTGTTGTCACCAATAATATTATACCATTGGTAGAATGCTCGCCATCGACGCACGTAGTCCGAGTTCGATTCCAAGCTCACTCTTAAATCGCACTTAGGCCGTGGTGGGTTCGGTAAAGAGAGAAGTTTGGACGTGAACCTAGAAATCCTACTCCAGATAAATAACGCTACAGCTACCGAAACTTCAAAACTCAAAGCTTGAAGCCCTATAATTCATTAGGAATGCAAAGGAATAGAAAAAATTGAATGGAGTAATTAAATATTATTAAAACTAACGCTCTCATGTTAAGCTGGAAAGTTAGCCTTCGTATTAATTATCCATTTATCAAAAGACTCCGTATGTTGAATCCACATGCCTTTAATGCAATACATTCTTCAACTTTTCTTAGTGCTGAATCATGCTGTGAAATACTGTTACAAGAATTAGATTCACGAGAAATATACCTACAAGAGTTGAAAAATACACTATTCAAACGTGTTGAAGAAGCTGAATATCAAATGAATAAACTTATAGATTTAAGAAATGAAGAGACTGAAGAAGCACAGAAAGCCAGTAAAATGTTACGTTCTAGTATATCAAGATTAAAAGAACGTTTTGTGGCTGAAAAATCAGAACTGGAAAATAAGGTAAGCTGATTAGCCATTTGTCTAAATTGGTTTACTTTATTTGATCTCATCTCGTCATTTGAAGAAAAGACAGAAACCTTATATATATGTCCAAACAAAGTTCACTTTTAATGGTTTGAAAAATTTGGGCATTGGGTATATGGTATTCATTATAATAAAGGTTTTCGTATTTCCCAGTGAATGAAAAACAAAACGATATTGTAAAAACAATATGGTTTTGTTTTTCATTCATTGGGAAATACAAAAACCTTCATTATAATGAAGACAGAAACCTTATTCAGGGTTTATTTGGTGAATGGTGACTGGTAGTGAAATCGAGGACCAGCATTTCGTCCTGTTTGGGACTCGTCACCTGGGTGTACCTGCATTCTCCAGTACCCATAGTCCCAAACGTTAAGGCGTCCTCCACTAGACCACTTGAGCCAAGAAGGCCTCAGTGAGAACACCATCACCCACTGGGGAATGTAGGTACATCTAGGTGACGATTGCAGAATAGGACGAAATGCGCAGCCTGGATTTTACTGCCAGTCACCTTCTACCAAATTACTTCATGTTAAATCATCAGACATCGTTGAAGCATCCTCACAGAAAGCGGACATGTCAACAGAGGCATAGTACTTCGATCCAATCAATCAACAGGAAAGTTCGAAATGAATTAAATTATCCAGAGTTTGTTGAAATACTCTTACTTGGTTTAGTCAGCCTTAGGTATTATACATCTTCCTTGGCACAGAATATTCTTCTGATAAAATATTGGAGTTGAGATGTAGCACGCATACAATTCCTATTATTTTGTAGACTATTGTTTGAGGAATTTTGAAACGACACTCAATGCGAAAGAAATTAAAGAAGTTAACTACTGTTGACGTCTTGCATACCATGAATTATTGGTGAATAGGGTTTACTTTGCAACTGTTATTCAAGTGTTGTGTCTCATGTACTGAGTACTGATGTATGTACGAATATAACTCGTTATTATTTGTGGAGGTATAATGCTTCTTATGATCAGTTGTTCCTTAAAACACTAGTCTATGATCTATATAGATCTTTATGAGTTTTGATAGTTTATTTTTTCAATGAAAAAGCTACCGTATCGTTCGAGGCATTTTGTCATTACATCTTTGTGAGTAAATGAATTATTGTACATTATTCATGGGTATTTGCAAAAGAAATCTGGCTAAAGATATCAACGTAATGGTTATTATATTGCTTTTATTCTCTTTGGTGCCTTTCCAAAGGGCTTACTTTACTTCTTGACTTTCTTTCATTGCTTGTACAAATTTTATTTGATTGACTGACTGAATTTCAACACAGAAATGTAGTACTTCAAGTTGCTGCGCTCCATGTACCTCAAGAAGTCAAGGAAAAGAAAGAAAAAATAGATTCAAAATAACTACAACGGGCATAAATGAATGAGACAAAGAATGGTAAATTGGAGCAGTGTGAGGATTCAGTGAATCTGTGAGATGATAACAGACCGAATACATCGGAATCATTGCAAACAGTGTTAAGCCATATCACCCAAAGTCTCAAGCTATTGGTTCTTAGAATCCCGAAGGCCTCAACCAGACAGATTATACCTCCCTACATGGTTGTCTGGAACCAACTGTCGAAAACTTTAGGGATTGATTGAAGGTTTTGGTTTGACTATCCTCCAACTCTTTTCAACCTGATTGTATGTTAGCCAGCATTGCTCAAAGAGGAAGGTGGTAGACTGACATGCGCAACACATGTCCTAGCTATCTTAATTGGTATGGCTTCACAACCTTATCGATTGACTTACCTTCCTTACCTAACACTCGACGCCTAACCTCATTAATACTCACCAGTTTATATCTTCTAATATGGAACTAAAGACAACAATCCTTTCCATATCTTTCACTTTCAACGGCGATGACTCACAGTCATAAAGGAGGATGGAGCAAACTGCAGTAGAGGGCACATGTCCTTTGATCGATATAACGTCTACGCCGGAGATGACGGTAGTTGAGATGTGTTACACAAGCCTTTTGTATCCGTTCTGAGATTTCGTTATCAATCAGTCCATTGTGGTTGATGCAAATCCCAAAATAAGTGAAGTAGTCAACACGCTCTGCCAAATCACTCCCTGTCTTTAAACTGAGAGTCTTCGCAAACCAATGCTGCAGCATCACCTTACGTTTGACAGTGGGAGAATCGCATTTCAAACATTTGAAGATTTCTGCCCCAAGTGCTTAAACGGTTCTGCATTTTAATAAGCGTCTTCACCTAGGAGGACATAATTATCCTAATACTATAAGTCGATAAGACTGTTCTCTGGCAACAGGTCAATTCCTAAGTTGCTAAAGTCAGTTAGTGGCAATTCTATTATTTATTATTATTATTATTTTATTTGATGTAATCTGATTTAGTTCTCAATTGACAAACACAATTCAAAGAGTGACAGACGGCTATAACGTTTTAACACTGTTTACTTGATATTATGACGCCTAGTTTTCTTTGGAAATTGAACACGTTGTATTTTGTCATGAAGTACTACTTATAGCATAAATATATTATCAAAATGGCCAAGTTAGTCTTTAAGCACCACTAACTACCAATGGAGCGCGTCCGCACCATTCACCTTGGATGGTCCAGTGAGATTTATTCACGTGAGTTGAAGCTCCTATTCCTCTTTATTCGAGTCAAATCCCTGCCCCAACGTAGTTACGTTTTTAGTTTGGCGAGGATCAAGTCTTCCAGTATTGCTTAGATGTGGGGTTGATTAGGAGGTGTGATGACTATAAAAAGCTTCACCATGTCGGTTGATGGAAATGTGCATCGTTGTGCAATTTGTTTGAGACGAGTTAATGTCAGGAAAGGTAAGCTTATGATTCTAACATTTCGTGCAAACATATGATACCTCTTTACAGCAAGGATTCGTCGAGAGGACAGAAGATAGAAAGTCAAGTACTCTAATACCTATAATTACTTGACTGGTGAGACAAAGATCTATGATATACACAGATGAATGGAAAGGTTATAATTCCTTGTCATCCACCACAGAGTCAATCATTCTAATGATTTTTTGGATCCCATTACAGGGACGCACATTGATTTTATCGAAGGCTTTTGGGGAAGCTTAAAAACAGGATTAGAGCCATTAATGGATCTCAAAGAGATGTCATTTATAGTCTTTTAGATGAATATGTGTATAGGATGTGGAGTAACTTTTCAAATGATACTCCTGTGCTAAACCTGGAAATGTTTCTATCACATGTCAGAGGAAGATATCCTGTGTAACCCTTTTATACAGGTTTTATGCATATTTTTTATAAATATATGTATTCCATACACAAAAATATCGCCTTCATATGATTGTTGCGTTCAACGTCATCCGCTGATTGGTGGTCAGTGATGCCTAAAGTTTAACTTTCCCAACCTTGATCACTGTAAAGTTTGAAACGCACGAAAAATCTCATAATTACACATACTGTGTAAAGTCTTTTGTGTTGTAGTTGGCAGTTATTCTTATTCTAAGGCTTCATATTCCTATTCATCCTCATTTGTAAATTTTGTCAACAGATATGCGCTATTCAAGACACCTATGAAGGTCGAATCACAGAATTAAATAACATGCTAAAACAATCTGAAAAAAGTCGTGAAAATCTTATCACCAAATTCAAAACATCAGAATTTACAATCCAAGTAGGTTTTAATAAAAGAAAAAAAAACAATTTTTGAAAAGATTATTTATATTATCCCCAATTTTTGTTTAAATTATTGCAAAGGTTCTCATAAAAAAAGACGAAATAATCATAGAGGAGTGATTCAATCTAAGTATCCGGTTGAAAAGTTAGTGTTCAATCACGTTCCTTTCGAAAAATCACAGGGAAAAGTGTTTGAAATACCTGAAAAGAAGTGAAACGAAAGTGAACAAATAATCTAATGATAAACATGTAAAAGAAATTTTTTTATTTTTTTGATTACAGCTTGATTCCACACTGTATTTTTATGGTACAAGTATGGAATTTTCAGCGTGGATATCGGTAGCCCAAATTTTGCAGGCCGACCATGTGCATGGTCAGGCGAGAGTCCTAACCACTGTGCCACCGACGCACATCAAAGTCAATTAGTGAGTTACTAAGCTCCAGAAAGCGACTAACATGTGTTTTTCCCCTATTTTGGGTCTCTTTAGCTACTAACTTATGAAGAGTCACATCCAAGACAGTTAAGTTAAGGAACATCAGTGTCTCCATCCATCCATCCATTGGGTTGGAATCTAACCGCTCATGATTTTCAACTCCTGGTCACTAGTTGTTTGGCATTTCAGAACCTAGTGTTCGTAAGCTCGATTTCCTGTGTAGTGGTAGCTATGTCCTGCTGAGGATTCTTCATTTTTCATTAGTTATCTACTTGATGATTATTTGTGGTATCAAACGAGCAAAATTTTCACACACCTAACATTTAATAAACTGAGGTTAAAATAGTACCTCCATCTTTGGCGACAATGAAGGGTTGTTAATTGTACTTCCTGGTTAGCTTAGTCAGTAGAGCATCGGACCTTTGATAGCGATGTGTCTCGCTGATCTTGGAATTTGATTCAGTCAGTCGAGCCCGGGTTTTTGAGAAATCTGTGCCAGTTAGCTAACTCCTGTTAAGTGCACATCATTGTGCCCCATTAAAAAAAACAAGTTTATGTTTTTTTCTCTCCTGTCACTAACTGGTTAGAGCTTAGTTACCCGGATCAGATTTTCCAAGTGCCAGGCTATGAGTCTCATTTATTGTGTGTGTGAACTGATGACACTAACTAGTCTAACAGGGACTCATTGGTTGAAAATAGAGTACTTGAACCAGTGTGCCACATCATCATTCTCTCATTCATAAGTTATGCTGTAATGCTATTCAATATTTTGTATTCTTCTTCCACGAATCAAGTCAATTACTGATTCCACTGGTCGACATCATCCTCCAACTTGACATCATTCACTAGGAGTTTTGTTCGTGTTTTTTTGTTATGTACTCGTCGAGTAGTTAATAGTCCTGAAATCAGAAGACCACGAGGTTTACGATGATACTTCTATTTTCCAGACAAGGAAAATAAATGTCACACAAGAGTGTGAGTGAAATGGTACGAAATGTACGAACAAGTATGTGAACAAGAATACAGTACAAAAGTATATATGAAAATGACTAATACACATGAACCAATAGACAGTCATCTTACCATGATTGGTTGTAATGTCATGTGACAACAAGGTCATACATTTTTTATTCAGTTAATGGGCAGACAAAAGCATAATGTCAGTTGTAATGGAATATCGGTCCATATACACATACCAAAATATAACAGACTGTCAAAAACAAAACACACATCATGTGGATACATGTAACAACAGAAGACAAGGGCCAGGCAACAGATCGTTTTATTATGAAAATCAACACATATTTATATATATTTCACATACATTATTATAGCTTATGCAAGTAGACAAGCGTAGTCATCTGATTGGTTGTTTATCAGAAGTTAAGCAGACAAACGCAGTATTCTGATTGGTTGTTTCGGGATTCCCCGAAAAATAGAGTTCTCTATCTGCGAATCATATTTTGCCACGTTAAGTCTGCTGTGATTGGTTGTTCAATCAGCCTTGTACATATTTTCTCACGGCCTGCTCTCACCACATACATATCTTTTTTAAAGTCTGTTTCTGATCTGATACGATTAGATTAGTGTTAGTCGCGTAATATTAATAGCTAGCGTATCATTTCTCAACCTAAAGTATGTGTTATTTATACGATTGCCAAATTATAAAGTAATTCTGCCATATTTCTTTTTGTTTACTATGTTTTATAGGATTTGAATAAACAAATTGCTGATAGTAGAAAAGAGTTAAGTGATTCAATGCATCGTATAGCTCACCTGCAACAAATTAATTGTGATCTGTCGAATGAACTGGTTAAATTCAAGTTGACCGCTCAAAAAGCATCAACACGTGCAGAAAATTTAGCTAAACAATATAATGAGTTAAGATGTAAAACTGAACAAGGTGATCAATATTGCTTGTTAGCACACTATTTACCTTATTGTTAAACAACTATAGTTATCAATTCATGGATCCTATTATTGTTCCCTTGGGTTCCGAGTCGGACATAGGGCTTCAACAGTACATCTCCATTTCCCACTATTGTATGAAGTCCTTTTTAGTTGACTCCATGATTGTCCATAAGCTTATATCTCCTAACATTCTCTCCTCCATATCAGCCTTGAAGCCACACCCAACCCGTCGTTTCCCATTCGGGTTCTATTCGGGGACTGCCCGGTGAGTGATGTCACTCAACGGTCTCCTCAGCATGTATCCAAACCATCTCCATTTTCTTCGTGATGTTTGTTGGTTAGGCTTTACTTAGGTTTCTGGCTGTCTGGTTGCTTGCCGGGGTTCATTGTTGCTAATACTTTCTGGCCATCTGTTCTTCAGTATGGCGTTTGGGCAGCTGTTGATAAAAGTTTGCAGCGGGTTGTTGGAAATGCTTTTGTGGTGAAAACTGGCCGCAAACAAGCTGAAATTGTAGACAGCAATATACGTCACTGTTACATCCCAAATTAGGGTCATGAGAAAAACAATAACAAAGTTTAACTGTGAGGAACCCACCAACCAATTACAGCAGACTTAACGTGTGGAAATACGATTCGCAGATATATGGCTTCACTTTCTGAGAAACAGTCACAAACAGTACAGAATAACCCTCAGCAAGAAAACAACCAATTAGAAGACGTTGCTTCTTCTCTGACAATAATGTACATAAAAATCTATAAATATCTCTTGATTTTCTCAATAAACGGTCTGTTGCCTCGTTGTCTTCCGTCGTTACACTTTTAGTGATACGCCAAGTATCTGACTGGTATAACAGATCCGACTTGAAACTAGCGTCGGAAATCCGAGTTTTGTTCCGTATACTGAGTGTAGTTAATTTACACATTGATTTCAGAATAATGGAAGTCTATCTTCCTTGTCCTATCGTGATCCATGCCTGTTTAGGTAACTTCATTACCTCTGTCTTCTCTATGTTCACCGGAGGTTGTCTTTCCTGTTTATTCTGCTGACGTATCAATTTCTGTCTGTAGACCTTCGAGTTAGCGTGACACTAGACATTAGTCGTTCGCAAAGTCCATATCTTTTAGACCAAACTGCTTGCTCCCCATGGTCTAACACATGATCCAGTCTACCACAATGAGGAATATCATCAGTAATAGTAGGTAACCTCGTCTTACTCCTGTTTCCCCTTCAGAGACATCTCTGAGGTTTCCATTTTGGATCACTTGACATGTGGCCTCATCATAAAGCTATTGAATGAGATTGATAAGAATTTCGGGTAATCCATAGTATTGAAGCAGTTTCCAAATTATTTCATGGCCGATGCTGTCTACTAAGTTCATTCTATTCTGTTTTCGATGAGAATAAGCATGAAGGTCAGTTGTGAGCCCAAATAGCCCGGTAGTAACATCTCTGACTGTAGAATTCGGTCACACTGGTTTGAATCTCTCCTCAGGGAGGCATCAGTTCCTTCAACGTTGCAGATATACCTTTCAGATGAGTGCCAACAATCACGAAGCCTAGGTGCAAGGTTTCTTGGTGATTGTTTTCAACTGTTTAACACATTATGGAGTGTGTTACACAATATGTATAACTGTTACTTGAATAGTGTTAAGAAATATAACCACAATAGCTGTTTCAATTGTTGAGTAGTTTTCAAGAATCTTTGGGTTATTCATATCCAGCTAACGAAGAATATTGTTCTGTTCATATGATACGAGTAAAAGTAGTTCTGAGTGTAGTTCACACTTGTTATTGTAGGGATTTAGTTCGATTGGTTGCAGGATTTCATCATGACCTGACATCAGTTAGAGAAGCATTGGAAAACCTGAGAGTACTGCAGCGCTGTTTCGTCCTAGCTCAGCACTCTTTGGCAGCGGGTGATGTTTCGGGCACGAGTTGCTGTTCAAAGTCATATGAATATATATTCATACTGCAACGAATAAAAGGCCTATGAGGCTTGAAGGAGTCTCTTTTAGGAAAAAACTGATTGTCAGTACAACAATTTGATATACCATATCTCCAACGCTTTGTTTGCCCATCTTTTGGAAATTGGTGGATATCACCACATTCGATAGCTTGTTGGGTTCTGTACGGTGTTTCTAACGTTCTTCTCCCAGTTCTGTTCTTCAATTGCTTTTTCTAGTGTCGGAAACATACTGTTGTTTTTCTAAACTTATATCTGATCATAAGTAGCTCTCACCACGATACGACTTCATGACTGACCGGTTTATATTTAGTTTTACTATCTGTTTTTCAATTCATTTTCCTATATCTTTAGGAAGTAGGACTGTCTAAAGGAAGCTGCAAAGTCATGTTTATATATCGATATGATTATGAGCAATATATTGTGCTCGAAGCCTCACTTAACTGTTAATATTACACCTCTGCATATCGTATCAGATAAACTTATTTAGTGTAGAATTATACACCACCATACTGGCCAAATTCTTCTTGGGTATATCTGCGTTGTACTTAACACAGTAATGATATACGATGGAAATCATTTTCTGTTAATTATTGTTCATCCTACATTTAAGAACTTAATAAGTTCGCGAGCTGACATTAAAAACCAGGCAGTACTGGAATGTTCAGTAACATACCCCACTGATATCACTGAAAATCCAGACCTGGAACTTCAGACTACCAGGAAAGCTCGTTGACCCCTCAACCATTACATGGAATCTAATATCCGATGGATTCTAACTTTTGCTAATTCACTGTATATGGCACCACTGCCATCCATTATTATCAGTGTTTATCTGTCTTCCCATTGAAATTCGCAGACGCCTCCCTGCTCACGCCTTCTCACTAGAACTCCACACTCCTTCATCCTATAGTCAGTCATTAGTGAATAGTAGTTTGACATTTAAGTGTCGTTTTGCAGAGTTTTGATTCATTTTTGTTGCTCGCTAGAAATAAACTATTTTCTTTGCACACTTCTAAGGTGTTTATTTTCTTTTTCATTATTTTTAAAATTAGCTAATGTGAATTCTCTTCAAACAGAGAAAGCTGTACGAATGGCATCTGAAAGACGTGCCTCAGCTGAAAATGCGTTAGCCGCTGCACATCAACGTGCTGACAACTTGTCTATGCGTAATACACAATTAGAAAAGGAATTAACTATGGTAAAAGTTCGTGCTGAAGAACAAACAAAAGCCAATGAAATTACAGTAGGTAAACTTAAACGACGCTTAATGGCTATTCATAGTGAAGCTTCAAAATGGAAAAAATCTCATCAAGAGCAAAAGGTAAATTCCTAGGGAATTTCTAATGTTAATTTATCTATCCTTCGAGAAGTCGAAGTAACCTACCAAACCACTTTACTATTAAAATAGTATAAGCGGTAATATCGAAACATCTCTGCCGAAATGTTGGTATTAGATGGTTGGAGGTAATCGGCAGGAAGCCTTGGACCTAGGTTTCGTGCTAGTTGGCACTCCCAGTCAGCAAGGCATATTTGCAACCTTGAAGAGACTCATGTCCCTTCTGAGATTCGAACCCGCGTCACCCAGTGCTGCAGTCAGAGACCTTACCACTGAACTGTTCGGGCTCGCGATTGACCTCCTGTAGGACTGTATTGGACATTTTTGATTGCACACTAGTTACTAGTGTGCAATCAAAAATCTCTGCCGAAAGTTTATACACTGATATACACAAAGCAACTCAGTTTTGTTGCTCGACAACGCAGAAGTTCAGCATTTAGTACTAATTAGATAAAAATAACCATTATAAGTTATTATTTCGTATTTGAAGCCATCGGAATTAGGATTCCTGTCTCTCACCGAGGCGGCCCGGTTTCGACTCCCAGCATGGAAGCGCTTGTGCTCGCTCTGGAGGTACATATACTTGAGTTGGAACGATGCAGAGAATATTAGCAAGGCCTATCCGCAAGGATAACACGCAAAACCGTGAAGTGTTCCATATTTTTTGGGGCGTCGTTGGTTCAGCGGTAGAACGCTCGCCAAACACGCAAGGGGTCTGAGGTTCGATCTCTGGGCGACGCACTCCTAAACCTCGCTAAGCCGGTAGTAAGGTAGGTAGAGAGGGAAGGTTCGATGTGAGACTGGCAACCCCATACTGCAAATATAAAAGCCACTGGTACTGAAATTTCAGAGCCCTGGCTTGAGGCCCTATGTTCCCCCCTTGGAATGTAAAGGGATAGAATTAAATTAGTAGTGAAGTGACAGTTGCTACGTTAAACCTTTAGGAAGAGTATTTACACTCTACAATTTGTTTATTTAATTCCTTTGCGTTTCGAGTGGAACATAGGGCCTCAAGCGTGACTTTTGAAGTTTTAGTAGCGGTAATGTTGTTCTTACCGGCTAGCTTCACGCCTAACCTTCCCTCTTTTGTGAGCCTATTAGCGGCAACGCATAGTTTGGAAGCACGTTGGTGGGGAGTCTATTTTGGACCATATGCGTGACTGGTGAGTAGTCTACCAGTGAACCACCAACGCGAATCACTCTACAATACATGAGTCGTAGAGCGAACTAAGCTTGCATCCTGAATACCACCACCACCCATTACGGAAACACAATTCAACAGCTGAACTATGCAGAATACCCTTCATCATAAACATTAATACTACTTGAATTGTCATGTGACTTGGAATAAATGTTGCATATACCAATGGATATCATCCACTATTATTGTGTGGGAACTGATAGCACTACCCATTCGCCTAGGCTGAAGTAGGTTGGGCGGGATTCAGAGCTGGAACCTATCGGTTGAAATCCGGGTGCTTGAACCATGTCTGCTAGCATGACATTCGTGTAAGTATCAGAAGATCTTATTCCTGGTGCTCATTTTGTTTTTCGCCCACCAAGATAGAACTTGAATGCAGTTCTGTTGGTTTGCATTTGTTATGTCTCCAAGTGTTAATAATCGGAAGTGTTAATATTACGGATTTAAAATGGATTCGATGAGTTATTATTGTATCCTTTAATTCCTAGAGGAACATAGGGCTTCAGCTGCATATCTCCTTTGCCTTTTGTTTTCTGCCAACTTTTTCACCCCGCTCCAAGTCTGCCCACATGCTTTCATCTCCTCTTCACATGACCTCCTCCAAGTCACCCTTGCAGTGACAACCAACTCGCCGCTTCCCAACCGGGTTCCACTCGAGCGATGGCTTGTCTAGTGATGTCACCTGCTGGTTTCCTCAGCGTATGGCCAATCTATCTCCATTTCTTCCTGCCTATTTGTTTCACAATCGGTTCCTGGTTGGTTCGCTCATTGCCAGAGATCCCTGTTGCTGATCTTTTCTGGCCGGCTATGTGATCTTGAGTATTGAGCGAAGACAGCTGTTAATGAAGGTCTGAAGCTTGTTTGATGTGCTCTTTATGACTCGCCAAGTCTGATCCGTATAGTAGCACTGGCTTCATATTGGAGTTGAAAATCCGGATCTTATTTTGATGCTGAGTGCTGTTGATCTCCTCCACACAGACTTGAGAGTAATGAAAGCTTGTCTTGCTTTTCCGATTCTGGCTTTGATATCCTCATCAGTTCTGTCCGCCTGTAGTTGAAACGATGAGTTAGCAAATAAATATACGATTTGTGCTTGTTGACTTTTCTTCACATCACTTGCATTCAGTGTGGATAGAGCTTATTTCCCCTAAATTATTCGATTTTGAATCATTCAGTAACATAGTGGCAAATCTCACTGCTAAGCCAATTAATCTACAACTGCCTTGTAGGACAAGATTATGTACGTCAATGTAGCTGTCCAGTTTTTAAATGTATTGGTAGAAATATGTCAGTTAAATGTACAAAATACTATACACCTGTTCTATCTAATCTTACATCATTTTTCATGTTTATTTAATTACGTCTATGCGTTTGCTTATTTTTTTATTTTACAGAATATTCGTGATTCAGATTTAGAGAAAACCAACGAAATTATACAAAGTATGATAGATGAACGTAAATACCTAGAAAGTGAATTAACAGCTGCGAAGAATGAAATTAAAGAACAACTTCTGTCAATTGAACAGCTTAAAAGACAAGCTGCTTTAGACGCATCTGATGCATCAACACGTCTATTAGCAGCTTTATCCACTGGTGAAGAAGGTGTAGCTACAGCTTTAGAATTGAAACAATGCATTGAAACACAATTGCAACCAGAACTGGAATCTGTTAGGTTACAGTGTAAAAATTTAGAGTCAGAACTTATGGTTAGTAAGTTGAATTTTTTTTATTATTTATGGTTAGCATTGTTGTTTTACTATTTATATTTTTGTTTTAAATACCTAAGACTTTTCTATAGTAGATGTGTTAAAATACAATTTCCAACGGCGTCGATGGCACAGCGGTAGAGTGCTCACCGACCACACAGGTGGTCTTAGATTCGACCCCAGGCCGATGCACTCATACCTTACTAAGCCAGCAGTAAGACTGGTAAAGAGGGAAGGTTGGTCATGAGGCTAGCAACCCCATACTGTAAAAATAATTACCACTGCTACAGAAACTTCATGCCTCTAACTTGAAACTCAATGTTCCACTTGGAACGTGAAGGAGTGACAAAAAAAACAGATAATCAGCTCAATGTACTATGGTTTCTAGATTATTGTACTCCTTATACGGCCATTACTTCCTTTCTGCAGCCACGTTGGATTATGTTCTTTGACCCTTTTTGACAAGATGCGCATCAAAGGGCCGACGTACCTGGCTTCACAGCGACAGGTAAACTGCTATATACACATAGAAGTAGTCAGATGCGGGATCTTGTCCTTTGGGCTTCTGCAGATCAGCGAGCAACTGGAGAACACTGCTCTCAGTGTTGCCGCGAAGAAAGTTCTTCTTAAAGATGTGGAAATTCTCCTCTTAAGGATATCACTGAGTAGGTCACCTTTGAAATCAAGGTCCATATAAAGTATCTTTTTTTTCCATGGATTTGGATTTTTTGTTTGACATTTTGTTTATGAATCTTGGTAGATATCCGTTTTGTATGAAGATTTCTTCCAGAAAGTTTAGTTCTTCTTCGAGGGTATCGGAGCCGCAGATGCGTCGGACGCGAGTAGCAAGGGATCTAATTAGGTTTCTTTTTCGACTGATTGGTACCCAGCTGTAGAAGCTTGTCAGTTGGCTTTTCCTAAGGATGGACCCTCTTAAAATTCCATCAGCTCTTCTTGTAAGTTTAACATCAAGAAAAGGTATTTTAGATCCGTATTCTATTTCAAGAGTAAACTTTGTAGCTGATTGACAGTTGTTGAATATTTGTAGTAATTGATTAAGATCGTGACCATCATTACAGATAATGAAGTTGTCAAGTTCATGTATTGGTCATCCGGTATAATTGCACGATTAAAACAATAAGAAATGCAGAAGAGTATAAGCAGAATTTTGATGGATAGAAATTCTGGTAGCCCAATTATTTAATTTGGCTAAATAACTTTAGTTTCAGTGTGTACCACTTGAATACAAGTAAAAGCAAAGAATTTCAGACGCAATAGGCCGCTCATGTAACAGCATAAAAAAAATCATGAAATTTGCAATTTTATATGTTGAACTTTTAAAGCCTGAGGCCTAGATATTATGACTATGAAGCAACATTTATTGTCATAGATTAGCAAGAACTCTTAAATCGTTCAAATAATTTACTTTATGGAAATTTTTCGTAATTTGATAAGTAATATATTAGCTGTATCATCACGTGAACATAGTAACGCTAAAAATAAGCGTCGTTGTCTGGGTATGTCTTAGACTTACTTATTAAATTTTTTGTAAACTATTCAAACTCCATGTTTGGAAATCAAGTTGTCATTCCTTTGTCACTTTACAGTCAGATATTAGGTTAATTCCACTAGGTCATCCACATATCGAACATGAATTTACAGTGTGGAATCAAGCTGTAATAAAAAAAATGAATTGAATTCCTCGTAGTTATGATTACGGGCTGCGGATGGGTTAACATCTTTTGTCTATGTGGATAGAAGTTCAGGATGCTAAAATGTAGCTAAAGACCTTCCACGATTATTATTATCGATCTTTTGGCGTCAACCTGGACGCCAGTAGTCACGTGTTAACGTCGATTTTCTTTTACTGTTTCTAATCATGGTCTTCTTTACCATAAGTAAAATTTTGATAGTGTTATTAGAAGACGGAGACTATCTGAAAAATGTGATGTATTAGCGCTATACATTTCGAACAATCTGATCACACATTTACTTGTCAAGTCAATATATATAGAAAGGTTAAATTAAACAAAGTGAGAGAAAACGGAATTAAGAATAATTAACACAAACGTTTGGTAATCCAATCAAATAAGGATTACCAAGGTAGGTTAAGAGTAATGACAAACTGTTTTTGAATACACAAGGGGGGCTTAAGTCTATGAATAGCTATAGCCTCAGCGTATTTCAGTAAACGCACTTGACCGTTTTTATAGATGACCTTAAAGGCTGAGTTAACATCAATCTTATGGTTCATCTCGATTAGATGTTTAGCTATAGACGAATTTGGTAGTATGCCACCTGCATCTATTAGCTTGTCACAATTCATCTGTTTTTCTAACCATTTTGGGATGTGCTCTCCCACCCTCACGTGCAAAGCGCGATTACTCCTCCCTATGTATGTATTTCCACACACACACGAAAATTGGTAAATTGTATGGGATGTGATATAATCACTTGTGCACTTTTGGGGTTTACAGTGAAGCATATTTTTGGCTTTTTCTACTATTACAAGCTGGGCTGCATAGTAGGTTCTACGGATGATCGAATTCAACCTTTGTCTCACAATCCTACTGTTTATTTCCCCGTTATATGGTAATTTGATAAAAACCTTTTTCTTAGGGACGGTATGGATTGTAGGTTTAGAGGCTAGTTGACTTCTACACCTGTTTAAAAATTTCAAAGGATATCCGTTTTCAACAAGAGTATCCATTAATATTTCGTTTTCTCTGTCCATAACACCAGCCGTGCAAATACGCTGAATCCTCTTGAATAGACACTTTACCAAGCCCCTCTTATACTGTAATGGACAGAAGCTGTGAAAATTAAGGTAATGCCCTGTCCAAGTGGGCTTTCTGTAGATAGACCGTCTTATTGAGCCATCATCTCTTCGACTCAGAAGTATGTCTAAAAATGCTAGTTGGTTGCGACTTTCTTCCTCACATGTAAGACTAATATCTGTCTGTCTGTCTGTTTTCGACATAGAACTTTGCACAAATGTGCGGAAGTTCAAGTCGCCACATTCCGTGTAGCACGCGAAGCAAGAGAAGAAAGTACAAGAAAAGCATAATAGAAACAGTGAGCAGAGGTGTGAGACAAAGGAGTAATAAAGAAATACAAAACAGTTTCATTGAAGATCATAAGTCACAGGGAGTGGATGCATCTGCGCCACTGAGAACGATTTTGAGCCATGTCACCAATTGTTTCCAACCATAGATTTTTACCGTCCCGAGGACCCCAGCCTGGAAGTCTACACCTTTCTACGTGGCTTAGACCAACTGTTGTGGATTTCATTGACTGATGCCAAGTTTTTGTTTGACCGCCGCTAGCTTTTTTCCAGCCTGACCCTATATCCGCTAACATTGCTCGTCGAGGGAGGCGATGACTTGGCATACGTAACACATGTCCTAACCATCTCAGTCTTTGTAGCTTCACGACTTCGTCGATTGATTTCCCCTGTTTACCTAGAACTCTACGCCTAACCTCCATGTTGCTCACCTTATTATGCCACTTTACACGGGAAATAGAACGCAGGCACCTATGATCAAAGACAGCTAGTCTTTTCATGTCTTCCACTCTCAGTGGCCAGGTCTCACAACCATAAAGGAGGACGGAGCGGACTGATGAGCAGTACACCCGCCCTTTGGTCGATAGTCGAACATCTCGTCTACGCCAGAGTCGGCGTAAACTAACAAATGCGAAACGAGCCCCTTGTATTCGTGCTGAGATTTCGTCAGAGATCAGCCCGTTGGGGCTGATGGTACTTCCCAAATAAGTGAAGCGGTCAACGTGCTCTACCACTTCACTTCCTATTTTTAAACTAGGCGTCGATGTAGTCCAGTCCTGTAACATCATCTTGCATTTGGCGGGAGCGAATCGCATGCCAAACATTCGTAGATTGCTGCTCAAGGTGTTTAGAAGACTCTGCATTTCGTCAGCGTCTTCGCCTAGAAGGACTATATCGTCTGCATATTCCAAGTCAACGAGATTATTCCCCGGTAGCAAGTCAATCCCTGAGTCGCTGAAGTCACCTAGGGTTAAGTCCATTAACACATCTATGATGAAGTTGAATAGAAAAGGAGATAATGGGCATCCTTGACGGACACCACTGGTCGTCATCAGTTCAGATGACAGCTCGCCGTAAGCCCTCACCTGGCTGTATGAGTACGAGTAGAGTGCCTTAATCAGTGCAATATATTTTCTTGGAATTCCCTTTACAGCCAAGCATCTCCAGAGAACTTCCCGATCGACAGAGTCGAATGCTGCCTTTAGGTCAAGAAATATAATGACTGTTGGACGCCGGTAGGAATGCCTATGTTCTAGAATCTGTCGGAGGGTGAAGATATGATCAATACACCCTCTTCCTGGTCTAAAGCCTGCCTGGCTCTCTCGTGTTTGTGCTTCCCGAGCACCACTCAGTCTACGCATGATTATTGAGCCTAAGACTTTAGATACTATATTAGTCAAGCTAATCCCTCTGTGATTATCACAGGAAGACTTGTCTCCCTTCTTGTATATGGGGATAATCAGTGACTTACACCAACCCGATGGGACTTCTTCTGATTCCCAGACGCTGCCTAGTACCTCAGTTAATCCGGACAGTAAGCTGTCTCCACCGTACTTAAATACCTCTGGAGTCATTCCATCAGGTCCCGCTGCTTTGCCTAGTTTCAGATTGGTGACAGCTTTAGTAACCTCAGTTAGTGACGGAGGACCTGTGTTTATATCCCATTCAGGGAGGTGTTGGATGCTCGGAAGGTTGAGCGTGGCTGTGGGCAAATTAAACTGCTCCTCATAATGCTCTTTCCAACGATCCAGTCGTCTATCCTGTGAGCTAATTATAGTGCCATTTTTTTCCGAGATTGTCTCACTGATGATTTGTCTTCTCCCACCCGTTTCCCTGATGAGTCCAAAGAGTTGCCTGGTGTTGCCTATCCTCGAAGCTTTCTCCATCTCTTTGGCTTTTGTCGCCCACCACTGTTCACGGTCCTTGCGGAGACTTTTCGTAAGTTTCCTCTTGTGCAGCTTTCGCTCCTCATTGAATTCGGAGCTCGCCGGAATAAGTCTTCTAGCATCTATCAGTTTTGTACAGAGTTAAGTCTGTCTAATAGGCGACTCGCATATATTGACTTGACAAGTAAATGTGTGATCAGATTGTTCAAAATGTGTAGCGCTAATACATCACATTTTTCAGATAGTCTCCGTCTTCTAATAACACTATCAAAATTTATAAAAGGGACTAATTGTTTTAAATTTTTGAAAAGAAGACTCCCTCCATGCATAAGTAAAATGTTCTATATCTCTCCAGAACATTAGTGGTGTATCATACTCTACACCCTATGTGCACACATACTTGTTTTTTCGTTCACGTTCCCCAGTGGAACATAGGGCTTGAAGTTTTGGTAGCGCTGTTTATTTTACGGGATGGGGTTGCTAGTCTCATTCCAAACCTTTCCTCTTTCTGGCTCAGCGAGGTAAAGGAGTGCGTCCGTGGCCGTGGATCGAATCCCGGACCATGTCCATGGTCGGCGAGCGTCCTAACCGCTGTGCCACCGACGCACAGTAATAATATTAAGTGCTTATTATTATTATTATGTATTCATCTGTTTATATTAATACTCATTTCTAATCATTTAACCATCATTCATAAAGTCCTCATCACTGATCTATCTTTGTTAAAATTTAAATTTAGAAATCAAATATCAAATGTGAACAATTACAAGAAAATTTAATTAAAGCTAATGAAACAATAGAAGAGACAAAAACATCACAAATTAAACAAAGTGATAATTTTCAAAGTGAATTAAATCTACTAAGAGAACAAATTTCTGAAGCCAAAGAACAACTGATTATTAAATCAAAGTTACTAGAAAAAGCAGAAAATCAGGTAATTAGTGAGTGTTAATGTATTTAACTTTTCATTTGATATTCAACTATGTAAAGTTCGAAGTACATTACGTACATCCATTGAGTGAGTTATAAGTGAGTTGTGTCAGTTGAATTGAACAACGACATGGCAAAATCAGTTTGTGTATGTATGTGTTGGTCTTGAGGGAATTATGTAGCTGCTGAAACAAATTCCCGTTAATCAGTACCTCATTTTTAAACATAGACGGATTAAACACATTGTTTTGTCATCATAAACAGCACCGACTTTTCGTTCTACTGTGATTTAATTCCCTGGGTTCCGAGTGGAACGTATGCCTTCAGCAGTACATCTTCACTTTGTCCCGTTCTCTGCAGTCCTCCTTAGCTGGCCCCAAGATTAGCTTTATTTTTATTATTTCTTTTAATTCCTAGAGGAACATAGGGCTTCACCCGCGCGTCTCCATTGCGTTCGGTTTTCTGCTAACGTTTTCACTCCGCTTCAAGTCTGCCCACACTCTTTCATCTCCTCTTCACATGACCTCCTCCAAGTCACCCTTGGATGACCAACTCGCCGCTTCCCTTTCGGATTCCACTCGAGCGATGGCTTGTATAGTGATTTCACTTGCTGTTTTCCTCGGTGTATGGCCAATCCATCTCCATTTCTTTCTGCCTATTTGTTTCACATTCGGTTCCTGGTTGGTTCGCTCATTGCCAGAGATCCCTGTTGCTGATCTTTTCTGGCCGGCTATGTGATCTTGAGTATTGAGCGAAGACAGCTGTTAATGAAGGTCTGAAGCTTGTTTGATGTGCTCTTTATGACTCGCCAAGTCTGATCCGTATAGTAGCACTGGCTTCATATTGGAGTTGAAAATCCGGATCTTATTTTGATGCTGAGTGCTGTTGATCTCCTCCACACAGACTTGAGAGTAATGAAAGCTTGTCTTGCTTTTCCGATTCTGGCTTTGATATCCTCATCAGTTCTGTCCGCCTGTAGTTGAAACGATGCTTCCCAGGTAGGGGAAGGAGGTTGTTTTTTTCAGGTTCCTCCCATTTATGCTGATTGTTGTCTGTTGGTGTTGGCCAGAAATCTTCATCACTTCTGTTTTCACTATGTTCACCTGAATTCCTATCTTTGATGCCTCTTCTGCCAATTTGTTGTTTATCACTTGCATATCTTCCAGTTTGTGGGAAATCAGACATATATCATTGGCGAAGTCCAGATCCTCCAAGTTTTTTGTGTGAGTCCACAAGATTAGCTGTACGCCTTCATATCCTCCTCACACGATCTCCTGCATGTCAACCTTGGATGCCCAACTTGTCGTTTAGCGTTCGGATTCTACTCGACGGCCTGGTGTGCGATGCCATTCGACGGTCTCCTAAGCGTGTATTCGGTCCATCTCCATTTTCTTCGGAATATTTGTTGAGCAATAGGTTCTTGGTTGGTTTCCATAGTTTCTTGTTGCTAATCCATTCTAGCCGGTCAACTAATCTTCAATATGGAGCCAGTGAAGGCGACTGTTGATAAATGTTCACAGCTGGCTGTTGGAAATGTTTTTTTGTGAGACGCAGTGCAAGTTTCTGACTGGCGTAACATTGGTTTTGAAATAAGGACTGTATATTCTTGAAGTACTTACAATTGTAGGAAAGAAGTTCCTTTTGTCTACCAAGAAAGTGTAGTAATCAGCAGAAAATAAATTAACGACAGAAAATTTCTTTGATAACACAAGTTTGTGTACAATAGAAGCGTACGGCTGCCAATGGCTCTGTAAAAATAATCCTAGCACTCAGTATTTGCATAACAGCACGCATACTTAGTACTACTTTACAGTGGTCGGTCCACATGCAGATGCTTTGACAGTCTCTTCTCCTCCCGAGAGTTGTTCTTTTGTTGGGAGAGGTCTTACTGCTTCTTATATACAAGTCGACATTTGATTAAGTTTATTCGGCCAATCTTAAGTAGAGGTGAAGATAACGAACTGTTCGTAAAATGTTAGGTACAGATACCTTTTTTATACTGAGCTTGTTTGTGAAAAACAAATACCGGAAGTTAGTGTTATTTCTCTGACTGGTTCTCTCGTGATAGCATTATATATATGTAATAATTCGATTAATCCGTGTACGATGTCCTTACAGTTGTGATTTTGTGGACTGCAGGTTATATCGAAAACATGCACTGTTAGGTGAAAAGTTATACTACTTGCTTTGTTTGTCTTACATCTCATTGCTTTTACTCAATTCTTTATCTCAGAATGCAGAATACACACGCAATGTTTAAAGGTGGGTATGTTTTAATTTCTCATTGTGAAGCTTAATTCTCTATGCGGTGCACCTTTGTAGCAGATAATTCGATATTTGATTTTGATGTTTTGGATGCTAATTGAGGGTGAGATAGAAATGTGAATAATGTGATAAGGATTCAAACTAGCGGTCTTCAAATTACTAGTCTGGTGCTATACCAGTTGAGTTATCCTATCCAACTCTTAGCTAGGTCATCAATTCATTTCAGTCATCACTGGGTTCGAACCCCATTACGGCCTAGATTTTTATTTCACCTTCAGTGATTACACACAAAATCAATGACGAACTGTCTATCCAAGACTACCTTAGATAATCTCACGATCTCTGGCGTAGATGTGATATCCAGCGTGTGTACTGCTCAACAGTTCGCTCCGTCCTCCTTTATGGCTTTGCCACCTGGCCATTGAGAGTAGAAGACATGAAAAGGTTAGCTGTCTTTGATGATAGGTGTCTGTGTTCTGTCTCCTGTGTGAAGTTGTATAATAGGGTGAGCAATATTAAGGTTAGGCGCTGAGTGCTTGGTAAGGAGGCAAATCAATAGACGAGTCTGTGAAGTTACACTGATTGTGATGGATAGAACGTGTGTTACACGTGCACCCCTAGCCATCGCCTTCCTCGACGGTTAATGTTAGCTAACATAGGATTAGTCAGGTAGGGAAGGAGCTAGCCGGTGGCGGTTGTGCTCAAACCAAAACATGGCTTCATCAGTCAATGAAGTCTACAACAGTTTGTGTAAGCCAGCCAGCAACGTAGGGAGGTGTACACTCCTTACTGGTTGGGGTTCTAGGGATAGTAAAAACCAATGGCTGAAGACAATTGGTGATATGGCTCAAAATCGTTCTCAATAGCTGGTGCAGATGCATCCAATCCTTGTGACTTATGATGTCCAATAAAATAATATTGTTCTTTGATATTACTATTCTTTTTGCCTCTTATCTCTGTTTGCTGTTCCTGTTTTGCACTTCTATTTACTTTCTTTTCTTGCTTTGTGTGCTACATGTGGGAAGTGTGGAGACTCGAACTGCTGTACATCGGTGCAAAGTTCTGTGTTGAAACCAGTCGGTCAGTCAATCTCACGATCATATTCATTTTACATTAAGCATTAGTTATACTCAACCGACACATTTTATTCTTCAATTTTATTAGACTGTCATATGATAATTTGCTCTAAGATTGACCGATTCCTGATTGTGGTGGACTGGATTACGTAACAAACTGTGGACAATAAGTAGACAGGTATATGTTGGACCGATAAAAAGTCTGTTGGAGATTTGGATTCCGTGGACTCTTTATGTCTAATTGCACACAAACTCGAGAAGAGACAGATGAAAAGCAACAAGTTGGCAGGAGATGAAGGCCACGAAGACAAAACTTCAAGTGAATATGGAGAAGACAGAGGTGTTGAAGATACTTAATCAACAATAGCAAGCCTCAATCATTATCAACGGGATAAATTTGAAGAAAGCTACTTCCTTCGGTTATCTAAGCAGAATCATTACAACTACAGGTGGAGTCACGGGTGAGGATGTCAAAACTAGGATTGGAAAGGCAAGACAGACCTTCACTCCTCTGAAATCAGCTTCGCAATCTTCTGCACTTAGAAAAAAGAAGAAGAAGACTCATATTTTAAACACCAAATGTCAAGCCATTGTTCCTCTACGGCTTAGCGATTTAGTGTGCCACTAAAGGCATTTCCGACAAGCTACTGTAGACTTTCATCATCAACGAGAACCTATAGCCCAACAAATATTCCGAACAAAATAAAGATTGGACACACTTGAAGGAGATTATTGAGTGAAATTGGGAATTGGGCCATTGCTCGAGTGGAACTGGAATGGGGAACAGTGAATTCGATGAGATGGATGCGGTCGTTTGAGTAGGAGATACGAGGTTATGCGCAGTCATGGAGTCAGTTAATGCAGAAAGCATTGTGAAATGGTGATGTGCTGCTTGGAACCTAAGCGATTAGCAACATTATTATTATGTCGTGAATTGGCAGAAGTTAGAATTCATGGGCTGGCCACTGGATCGGATCCCAGTGGCTCAATGGTCTACGAGATAGCTCGCCTCGTAACTAGAAGGTCCTGGGTTTGAACCCCGGTGGTTTCGTACTGATAAAGAGTCCCGAACCAGGATGAAACAGCTGTCCAGTAATCCCAGGTTCTCCAATGGTTCTCAAACTGATGTCAGCTCATGATAAAATCCTCCATCTAATAGAATATTACTTTTTTTCCACCTAATGATTGAGTTTAGGCAGATTCGAAGTTTGATTGTCTTCTTTTTAGCAAAGTTGATTCATTCAATTGCTGTATGATAAGAAAGTGGTTATTTTGAATCTTCTGTAATCTTCGTGGCTTTCTTCATTTGTCTGAAACTATAGAGCCTACTATAAAACTATTCTACTAATGCATAAAAATACACTCTAGTCAGTAACTATAGGAAAGTATCCCAATATAGTTTATTCTCTTTGTAGTAGCATGTCAGTTATCATGAGTCTCTTTCTACAGAGGTTATCCTCATAAGCTTTAAGTGTGTTAATGTTCTGTTTGCTGTATATCCATTGCTTCCATCAGGGTAAAGTGATTATAATTGTATGATTGTGTCTATAATATCCTACCAATATGCATGTTCACTCTTCATTGCACTGTGTGATTTAACACGCATCAATGCATTCTCATTCCTTTCACTGTACACTTCCCTGTAAATCACTTTGCACTTGAATTTTATTTCGATAGAGAAAGGAAGACGAAATTTTCAGGATATAATGATACCATCATTCTATTTCACAGGTTCTCATCAGCCGCAGACCACCTGGAATTACAATGGTTATGAATAATGACAATAACATACTTTAATGTTTAAGTGGTAGTAGAGAAGAAATGCTATAAAATTGACGCATCCAAAATGTGAGCATTACAATTTTCTGTTTGAGTTTTCATCATCAATTTATATGCCTTCAAAGTAGGAAAAGGGGGAGGGGCAAGACAGGAACCAGAAGAAATTAACAAACAGTGTTAGCTTGTAAGTTCATATGGCAACTCAAAAACAAAAGCGGTTACAGTTTATAAGACTGAAATTTGTTCACTGTGTTGAGATCACTGAATTAGATGACCAACTGATGTAATTAAAATCAAAATTCGGTTACCAGGGCAGTGAGGAGTTAATCACACTCTCTTTCTGTATGCATAAGTCTGGTTTGAATCGTTTGACTGCGATTGCTTCGGTAAATCGTAGTACATTTGCTGTCCTTTTTCTATTTAATATTTTTAAGGACTTAGAAATCTCTGTGAGATGACCAGTATCAACAATATGTCTGGTAATTGCACTCTGAGAATATTTGCTTCCTTTCAGGCACAAGTTTCTTGGAATATGTTCAGAAAACCGGATAAAAGCCTTTCTTTCTTTCCTTCCAATGTACTTGCTCCTGCATGTGCACGTAAATTCATAAACGTAGTTGGAGGTGACATCAGCAGGGTATTTATCCAGTTTTGATTGGCTTATAGAAGAAGTAATGCTGTACAGTGTTATGAGTTTAGCTACCTGGAAGCTTCTTTTTGTTGCAACTTTCATTCTTTTGTCAATCTTTTGTGACACTGCATCTCCTTTGAATTTCACTTAGTCTGCAGCTGATGAGAACCCGTGAAGTAGAATGATATCATTTTATACTGAAAATCTGGTCTTTCTTTCCCTATCGAAATTTATCAATATATGAATTTTATTTCTTTTTCTGTGTGCATGTATTTTGTATGAAGTGAATTACGTTTTTTCCCAATTTAATTCCCATTGTACATTGAATTTTCTTTTCAAGGTTGAACTTTATAAATCCGAGTTAAATGATCTACGCATATCCAAGGATAATAAACGCGCGTCCACTGAAGATGAATTAATTAATTTAACAAAACAATTAAATGAATTAAAAACATGTCATGATATTGTACAAAAACAAACACATACTAATCAACGTATAATTAGTAAATTAAAATTAGCCCGAGACAATGCACTGAATGGAATGGGTAAATTACAAGTGGAATTAAAAGATACACGTGAAAATTATGAAAGACAATTAAAACAACAATTAGAAGAAATTGTACATATTCGTCAAAAATGTAAACAAACTGAAGCAAAACTGCAAGAAACCAATGTCAAAGTTAGTTTCTGTGTTCATTATAATTTTTTTAAAAACATTTATCCGGATACTCTCTTCCTCTTTCTTCCTGTACACTGATTAGTTATTATTTTATTTTATTTAAACACAGAAAAAAACTTGGTACAATATGTCACCAAGAAAGATGCGCCACACAATAATAATTAAACAACATAGATTAAAAGTAATAAAAAAATATAAGTAGAGGACGGATGAAGTACTTCATCTGGAAGGAAAACAGTCATGCTTAACAGGTTCAAACAGTAGTCGTCAACTATCATCGGGAAGGAAAGAAAGAAGGAAATTGCGACACCTTCGACATTGATTACGATTCTTGGCCATATCCGATAACGTTTCGAGTCATCGATCCGAGCTATCTCGCGGACTCCAACTAGGGAGTCTTGACGCACCAACCGATACTAATCTAGCCCAAACATCCTTCATCCCACGATGCCACGTCATGCACTGACCTCCCCTCCGCCTTTTTCATCCCCTCCCAGGGCTGGCTAGCGAACCGAGACTTGTACGGAAGCCTCTGAGATGACATTCGCAACATATGTCCAAGCCGCCGGAGCCGGTGTTTCCAGATGACGACACTCAATGAATGGTGATCTCCACTGTGTTTAAACACACGCCGCCGAACCTGAGAATTACTCACGCGATGATGCCATCGAACGCAAGCAATCCTGCGGAGACAGCGATGATCGAACACACAGAGTCACCGCACATCTTCAGCTCGGAGAGGTCAGGTTTCACAGGCGTAGAGCAAGACAGCCCGCACCGAAGCATTGTATACCCGACCTTTGACAGCCAGGCTAGCGTCGCGACGACACCATAGGTGGCTCAAGTTGGTGTATGCCACTCTAGCCTTCATGATACGATTGGAAATCTCATCTGTCACCCTTCCGCCAGCACTCACACAACTACCCAGGTACACAAACTTATCAACAACTTCAAGCGGTTCAAGAGTGAGTGCAGGTACAGGTTCCTGCTAATCTTGTAAAAGTACTTTGCACTTAAACGGCGCAGAGCACATACCATACTTACAGACACTGATCGCCAACTGATTAAGTGCGATTTGAGCAGCCTGCATACTATCGCACAGTAAGACGATATCGTCTGTATACTCGAGGTCGAAAATTCTCTTTCTAGGGAGCAGATCTACACCACCTTCACGCAAATCCTTCAGTGACCAATCAGATTACTCATTATGGTGTTACAGGGGGTTGATGGCGACCATAATGGCTAGTTGATAACGTTTCTGACTACAGTTTTGGATCTTCTATCGAAGTCGCTGATGTGTGTAAGTAAGCACAAAACTTAGGTTCAGAGTTTCCTGCTGACTGCCTCCAACCATATGGTACACACACTCAATGTAAGACAGAGGGAACAAAGATGACCTGCAAGAAAAGCCCTGACGTAAGCCAATAGTACTTGCTAGCCAGGTTGAATTGATGTAAAAGCTGGACGGCTCTTTAGCCTATTAGTATAAAGCCATCTTTAACGTAAATGTAGAACTTCGGCACTATGGTATAATGTAATTTCATATTAGATAAGTTTATTTTAAATATCACACAGCGATGCAGTATTCACAACTGGATGACGTTTCGAGCATAAAATTATTGCCACTTATAATCATATTAGTTTCAGTCACATCGTTTCAAAATTTGTCTTATATATATATTCTCTCTCTGTTCTGTCTCCAACTTCCATTTGTTGTTTGTTGCCAATTTCCATATCTCCGGTATAGGCCAGACCTAGAATAATTGACCCTGATAAGTTAAATAACCTAGAAAAAAGTTCAGCCGTTGTACTGCGTTCACTTGCATGTAATCACAAAATAGAATGAGTGGGACAGGGTGACACTATCGAAAAGCAGTATATTTAGGCGGAAAGACAGAGAGGTTAATCACTGAAGCTTTGTCTATCGATTTAACGCCGCACACGTGCACTGATCAAGGTACTCTACTCGAACTCATGCTGTCAGCCAGGTGAAGGCTTACGGCGCGTTGTCATCTGAAGTAGTGACAACTAGTAGTGTCAGTCAGGGATGCCAAATACCCCCATTTCTATTCAATTTCATTATAGATGTACTAATAGATTTAACCCCAAATGCTGACTTCAGAGACTCAGAGATTGACTTGCTACCAGGGAGTAATCTCGTTGACTTAGAATATGCAGATGATATAGTCCTTCTAGGTGAAGACGCTGACAAAATACACCAGAGTCTTCTGAACACCTTGAACTGAGCAGCCATCTTCGAATGTTTGGCATGCGATCCGCTCCCGCCAAATGTAAGATCATGTTATAGGACTGGACTACACTGCCTCCTAGTTTAGAAATAGGAACTGAAGGGGTAGAGCTGGTTGACCGCTTCACTTATTTGGGAAGTACCATCAGCCTCAACGGGTTGATCTCGGACGAAATCTCAGCACGGATACAGAGGGCTAGTTTCGCATATGCCAATTTACGCTGTCTGTGGTGTAGATGTGATATCCGACTATCGACCAAAGGGCGTGTGTACTGCTCAGCTGTCCTCTCCGTCCTCCTTTATGGCTATGGGACCTGGCCACTGAGAGTGGAAGACATGAAAAGACTAGCTGTCTTTGATCATAGGTGCCTGCGCTCTATCTCCCGTGTGAAGTGGTATAATAAGGTGAGCAATATTGAAGTTAGGCTTTGGTCGAGTGCTAGGTAAGGAGGGGAAATCAATCGACGAGGCTGTGAAGCTACATAGACTGAGGTGGTGGACATATGTTACGTATGCGAAGCCATCGCCTTCCTCGACAGGCAATGTTAGATGATATAAGGTCAGGCTGGGAAAGAGCTAGCGGTGGTCAAACCAAAACATGGCTTTACCAGTCAATGAAATCCACAACAGTTAGTTTTAGCCAGTCACGTAGGAAGGTGTAGACTTCCTCACCGGTTGGGGTCCTCGGGACGGTAAAAACCAATGGTTGGAAACAATTGATGATATGGCTCAAAATCGTTCTCGATGGTCGGCGCAAATGCATCCACTCCTTGTGACTTATGATTTCCAATGGAACTACATTGTTCTTCCTTACTTCTATTTCTTTGTTTCACACTTGTGTTTACTGTCTCTATTATGCATTTCTTCTACTTTCTTCTCTTGCTCTGTGTGCTACTTGGAATGTGGCGACTTGAACTCCCGCACATCTGTGCAAAGTTCTATGTCGAAAACAGACAGACAGACAATATAAATCTTTGGATCTCTAGCACCATTACTCATGGTGTTTATTTTGATAAGGTATGATGTATGTCATGAGCTGTGGTTGTACGAGCAAAATGTATGAAAGTATGAGTAGTGAATACAATTATAGTAGATTATATAAGCACTTAACATAATACCTGTTAGATAGAGTGAATTGTGTGTCATTCAAGGAAAACAAGTGAGGGACAAGTGAAATATTTGCACAAAAATATGTTCAGTTTAATTTTCTTAGATTTAACTCCTGAACCATTGTTTGGCTATGAAAGATCACTTTAGTTGATCTCTATCTGCAATACTGCGAGGCACTAAATCTTACAAATTTACCCCTTTTCTTAAATATATATTTGATGCGGTAGGCTTAAATCAACGCTTCTAACTGGATAGATGTAATTTAACTAGAAGTCACAAGAAACAAACGTAAACAGCCAAGAAAATTTTCTTTTTACGATTCATTTTCATGAGCTGTACAATCGTAAGTAAATAAACAAAGAAATCATTAAACCCATAAGATACTGGTGAATTTTTCCAAGAAAATGTATTATACAGTGTAAGGTGTAATCTAAAAGAAGACGACTAATTGGAAATCAGAGAAAGAGGGCAGAAGTTGTGGAGCAACGTAAAGTCCACGCACGTATTCTGGAACATTGTCGAGCTTGGTTAGTCAGAGGAGAAACGAAGAATATCAGTGGCTCCATCCTCGAACACCTTGTCATCTCGGGATATCGAACATCCTCGCATGAATGCTTCGCAGTGTTACACCGAGTCCCTCAATATTATACAAAAGGATTTGGCATACGCCATCTTTACATAGCTAAAACATTAGCTCTTCGGGATCTGAAACCAGACCTATGCATTTAAAAGCGCCACATACATTCACTCGCCCTACCACGACTAGAGTAAAGTTCCCACTATAATTTCGCTTCTTTTTTATTATGTAAATTTACTATTATTATTTTTATTATTACCTTATTATCATTATTATTCCCACCATCCATATTTTATCATCACTCTATTACTGTTTATTAGTAACATCGCGTTTTCATGCAGATTTTATATAAAAACACTTTATCGTCTTTCCATTAGTTCCTATCTATTCTACAAGAGCTTATTGATTAGTCGTTATCTCATACTTATTAAGTGATGCCAACTTCTACCTTTTTCTAACTTCCAATTAGTCATCCCTTCTAGGTTATGCATTTTTCGAGGACAAAGTTTACCAGTATCTGATGCGTCTAGTGATTTCTTTGTTAAATGTACTTACGATTGTACAGCTGATGAAAACGAATCGTAGAAAAGAAAATTTTCTTCGGTGTTTACGTCTGTTTCTTATGACTCTACATGGAAATATTTCGTTCATTAACTCGAAGTCTTAGTATTTTTTTCAATCACCTTGTGACAGCAGAAGACAAGGGCCGGCAACAGATCGTTATATTACGGAAATCAACACGTATTTATATATATTTCATGTACATTATTATAGCTTATTCAAGTAGACAAGCGCAGTCATCTGATTGGTTGTTTATCAGAAGTTAGGTAGACAAACGCAGGCTTCTGATTGGTTGTTTCGGGATTCCTCGAAAAATAGAGTTCTCTATCTGCGAATCATATTTTTCCACGTTAAGTCTTCTGTGATTGGTTGTTGAATCAGCCTTGTTCATATTTTCTCACGGCCAATATTAGTGACCTAGACATTGACGTAGATTAATGTCTACCAAGTGGCTAGCAGCCTGCTCTCACCACATCATTGCATCTCAAGTGGAACATTTGACTTCAGTGGTTTACAGTTTCAGTGGCAGTGGCGTTTTTTTTTCGGGTTTGCTAACCTCGTGCTCAATCTTCCTTCTTCCCCGGGTTTGTTTCACACTAGTAAACTAGGTGGGGATTAGAAGTATGTTGACCAAGAGTCAAATATGGACCTCCCTTGTAGTTGGCGAGGATTTTACTATTGAACCACCAGCGAAGAAGTCTCGTTTATGTATAGCGAAATTCATTTTAGATTATGTCATTCTATGTAGATTCTATCAATCTCACTACTATAGCTGTTATTTTCTCTTTCTAGTATGAAAATCTTTTAGCCGAATCAAATAATCAATTGTGCTTTAACCAAAATATTGTCAAACAATTAGAAGCTACTATGAATGATCAAAATGCACAAATGTTGAAATTCAAAGAGATGGAATTGAAAATAACCGAGTTAAAAAATTCACTCAATGAATCAGAGATACGTTTAAAAGCTGCTAATAATTTAAAAGAATTAAATGATCAAAGCTACAGTGAATTAGAAACTCGTTTTAATCAACTACAAGTACGATTAAATGAACGTGAGCTATTGGTGAAGCATTTAGAAGATGAAATTCAAATGAAAACTCGTTTATTGGAAGAAAAATCTAAAGAATATGAATTAATAAAGGTAAGTTGAAAAGTTTTCAAGTATTGGTTTTGTAGGGTGTTTTTGTTTGATTGCATGGAGGATTTCATCATGAGCTGACATTGGTTAGAGAACCACTGGAAAACCTGCAGGGAGTACTGGACAGTTGTTTCGCCCTAGTTTGGGACTCTTCAGCGGTACGCATCCACCAGGATTCGAACCCTTGTGACCAGAAGGTCCTGAGTTCGAACCCCGGTGGGTGCCTACTGATGAAGAGTCCCGAACTAGGACGAAACAGCTGTCTAGTACTCCCAGGTTTTCCAGTGGTTTTCTAACTGATGAAAAGTTTTTCTTAACACGTAGTATCAGCATTTTCTTCACTGTGACAGTTGTTGAAATGATTTTTACTGAGATATGAAGATGGCTTATAAAGTAATCTTTGCTGTAAACGTGATATCCAGCTTTCTATCAAATGATGTTTGTACTGCACAGTAGCTGGCTCCATCTTTCCCTATAACTATGAGACATAACCGTTGAAAGTGAAAAGTATGAAGACGCTGATCATCTTTGATTATGTGTCTGCTTCTTATCTTCCATTTTAGATGTTAAAATAAGGTAATATTGAAGTTAGGCATAGTGTCAAGTAAGGAGAGTTAGTTCATCGATAGAGTTTTTACCTACATCGGTTGAGATTGTTAGGACAGTCGTTACGCAAGCCAAGCTGTCATCCTCCTTGTCAAAATATGTTAGCTGACATAGGATTGAGTTGGAAAAGAGTTAGGCGTGGTTAGACCAAAACATGACATAAATCCGTGAAGTCTTTGATTGTTGCTTTGAGTCATGTTATCGGGAGGTGTAGACTGAGTGACTGGAATCCTCAAGACCCTGAGAATCAGTGGCTTATGTGTTAGTGGGATAGCTCAAAATGTTTCTGTATGGGCATATACCATTCACCCGTTTTAATATTTCATATCCATTTTCTCTATCTTTTTGTGTAACTTATGAAGGGTGGCAGCTTAAACTGCTGTGCTTTCATTGAAAATTGATTTCAATAACTCGCAAAGATAGTTGCGTTTTTAGTCTTTATCATTCTATAAGCTGATCTCTATGTGAGAAATCAAATTGATCCGTTGCGTGTGATCGTGGAGCCCAGGAAATATCTTCAAGTGTCTGACTACAAATGACGTATTCAAAAGTGTCTGGTTTTGTGGAGTTCTGCTCGTAAGATTTATTAGCAGTCGGAATTCACAGTATTCATAGGTTTTGAGGCTGAACCTTAATAACTTTCCTCCTTCAGAGTAAGAGGTAACATAGCCAGTACGCTGACTTATAATGAAGGTATCCTGTTATGGTAACTCGTACCCCCTAACTAGTATTAGGACTTCGCTTTCACTCCACAACTATGATACAAACTGTTGGCATTATGATATTGGTCGGTTTTAGTTTTACGATCATCTGTCTTATGTCTTCGTATTGCACGGCCCTAAGGAATGACCATATTAGATAGCGCAATGTGATATTTTCCTTAGCCCACAACACCATCTTTAAGTTAGCAACTGTCCTTCGAAAATGGATAAACATGATGAAAAGCAAAGCAAAAGAAGTTAGCGAACTTCATCTTCAGAATATATTAACGGTGTAACGACAGAAGACAAGGATCAGGCAACAGATGGTTTATTGAGAAAATCAACAGATATTTATAGATTTTTATGTACATTATTATTCGTTATTTTAGCGGAGAAACAATGTCTTCTGATGGGTTTTTTCCTTGTTGAAGGTGATTCTGTACTTTTTGTGACCGTTGCCTACAAAGGTATCTATATATCTGCGAATCGTATTTGCACACACTAAATCTGCTGTGATTGGTTGTTGAGTTTTTCAATATTAGGCTTTGATCTTGTTTTTCCTCATGATCCCGATTCGAGATGTAAATTGTTGTTTACAATTTCGGCATGCAGACAGCTCTCATCACAACGGTAATATAGTGATTAAAATGATGAGCAGTCGCTTGAATCCATTTTGTGACTGCTTAGTACAACGTGATAGTATGATAATTAGCTATTCTCAAAGAAGCTTTTGTGACACAAAACTATTCTGATTCTTACTTTTATAACATGCATGACTGTAGGGTCTCAAGGTAAAACTTGACAGTTGATGATGAGTACATCTTAGTCGCCATTAATGGTTTCAGTGCACAATTAGACTTACTGTGTAATCAGTTAGTAATCTGGAAATCATTAAGTTGAATGGATATGTCTGTTCAACTTTCAAACTCAAGTGAAAGTCAGTTTGGTGAATGAACTTCCTAGGAAGGCGTTTACATTTTGATGTTGTTTGATGGTTGAAGTTCTGTTTGACCATGGCTTCGACGTCGTGCATATATATATATATATATATATATCTATATATATATATATATATATATTAGTTGACAGTGTCTTAAACCTTAACAAAACACATGTTCCTTCTGTGCCTTCATTCTTTGTCACTCAAAGCTGTGATTCATTTATATTAAGTTATTGCAGAATAAAGTGGTACCATCTTTTATTTCTTTGCCTTCTCGTCAGCTGTTTACTGGCCAAAGACATTATTAAATACATCTACAAAAAACGCGGACTAGTCAACACTCTGTACTATAGAGCGAGGAGAATATGCTCTGTAGAGAAATGCGAGGAAGAATTTGAGTTTCTTGGAAAGGTGTTGAAAAGCAGTGCGTTCCCTCAAAGGTTCATCAACAAGTATGGAAGGTCTAAAGTCACAAGTGTACAAGAAATCACAGTGGGTAAAAAGCCAATCTACTTTCAGTTTGATTATAAAGGTGAAAACATTGCAGCGATGATCAACAGAAGGCTGAGAACGTCACTATCCATAGCCTATTCTTCAGCTAAGCTCGTTCCTGTCTATCGAACAACTTGCTCTTTGATGCAATCAAAAATCGATAGATATCTTTCTCATGTTAACTCCAACTGTATATACAAATTTACATGTATCTGTGGGAGCAGTTTCATTGGAAGGACAGAGAGAAGGGCATATCTAAGACTTTCTGAACATGTACCAAAAAGCTTATATCTAAAGGGAACAAATGCTATAAACAGCGCCATCGCCAGGCGTCTCGTTGACACGAGTCATGAGGTGGACATCGAAAAGTCGTCTCCCTATCTCTATCAAGCGCCTGAAACCTGATTTGTGCGTTCAGAAAGAAACAATTATCAGTCTTTCTTTGCCCTGGTAACTGGATATTTTCATCTCTCTTTCATCTGAATATGTAACGCTGAAAAGTGTCCATTGTGTATGATTATATATATATATATATATATATATATATATATATATATATATATATATATATATATATATATATATATATTACTGTATGCATATATTGATCGATAGATTTTTGTTTAAAATGAACTCTGTACAAGTATGTTAAAATTGTTTCTGTAGACATATTTAATAATGTCTTTGGCCTGTAAACAGTTGACGAGAAGGCAACGAAATAAAAGATGGTACCACTTTATTCTGCAAAAGAAACTGTAGTTCTTGCATTCTTCAAAATCATTAAAGGGAATAAATATATGAAATATATTAAGTTACTTTTAATATCCAATACTCATTCTCCAACGGGCGCCTTTTTGATTCGGCTAAGTGAATAGACTGACAGACTCTAATAAACTTACTGAAGACTAGATAGCTGAATCAGTTACTGTCTATTTTATAAATAATGAAGATATCAAATCTTTTCCATAATACAGACCGTAAACCATAGTGGTTATAGCATTATTCTCCCCAATCAATAACTGCCAATCTCTGGGCTACATTTTAGCTATGAACTGTATTGTGGTATAACGGTGAAAATAAATCAAATCCCTGCAAAGCAATACTTGAAAATTAGTCTATTGCTCAGCAGTAACTCAGTTCACGGATGAAGTAGCATTAAGTCCTAGTGGAAAGTGGTGATCAGTGGGGCCCGCCAAGTTGGATATAAAGACAAACATTCGCCTATGACATTGGCTGGCTGTCATACTATATATCGTGAACTGGCAGAAGTTACAAATCACAGGCCACTGGATTCCGTTTCAGTGGTTGAATGGTCTACGAGCTTGCCTTGCAACCTGAAAGCTTTGGATTCAATCTCTAACTGTGTGGGGTCATAGGTGCATACCGTTGAAGTGTCGCAAACAGGAACGAAACGGCTGTCAAGCACTCCTATGTCTAATTTTAATAATGAAATTTCTCAAAAATTTGTTTTTTTAATTTTTATTCTATAATTCCTAAGGCATCAGTTGATCGTCAGCTTTCAAGTGCAATTAAAACTGCTGAACTTTCTACTGATCAACAGAAAGAAATTGAAGCACAAAAGCTTAAAATAGAAGAACAAAAGAATCAACTTCAACAAGAACTACTGGAGGTACAGAAAATGAACAGGCAATTACAATCAGATATACGAAATTTAGAAAGTCAAGTATGATATTTTTCTTTCTTAATTTAGTGTTCAGTTGTCCAATACTTAAGCATTGATTCGTGTAACTAATTCTGCTTAAATGGAACTAGTTTACTTAGCTGTCAACTTGTATCTATTTCGCGAACACACATCACCTTATCGGCCTGTATTGCCGTATAAAATTATTTTTTCCGTATTTTTTTTCCTTCACGTTCCCAGTGGAACATTGGGCTTCGAGCTAAAGATTTGAAGTTTCGGTAGCAGTGGTGTTTTATTTTTACAGGATGGGGTCGCTAGTCTCATGCCCAGCCTTCTCTCTTTACCAATCTTATTACTGGCTTACCGAGGTATAGGAGTGCATCGTCTGGGTATAGAACCCTGAACCACATGAGGCGTTGTCGGCGAGCATTCTACCGCTACCGACGCACTATATAAAATTATTAGTATTCACGTTTATGTGATTTTCAACCTCCGTCCTTCTTGATTCCTTCACTGTACTTTGCTTTAAGATGAAACGTAGCATTGTGGCGGGCTTGTTCAAAAATATTTCCTGAGTAGTAGCAAAGATGCACTTAATGTTTCATTGTATGCAATGGTTTGAAGTAGTTTCATTCGTTAGTATGTAACATAAATCGTTGCGCAATCCATCTTGTCAACTTGAGTGAACGTCTCCTGTATACCAGAATTTTAATCACCCAATAAAAACTAATGACATTTCGGATTCTTTTAGAAAAAAATATAATTGCATATAGAAAACCAGACGGTGGTATAAAGAGAAATTTGCATAGAAAAAGCGCATGGACAGGATAACATACACATTTTAATAGCTTCGTTCCTCTCCAGTACAAAAGAAATTTAGTAAGGACCCTCAACAACTGGGTTATAGCTATATACTCAGAAGAGGTAATTCAAGATGATCTTAGGATTGTATATGATACCTTGATTGATAATAGCTATCCAGACAAATTCATCAGGAAACACATCACCAAGAAGTTAGAAAAGGATTATTCTCTATCTGTAAGTAAGAAGCCTTTATACATGCGACTGTAATTCAAGGGCTATATGCCAAGCGAAATAATTACGACAAAATTAAGGAAATCAGTTCAAAGAAATTTTAATGCTGGCGAACGATACTTCTTATTCTCTACATGACCGATGGTGATTTCTCGAGTGAAAGATGAAGTACCTAGACTAGACTAGCCACTTCTAATTGTATCTACCAATTCAACTGCGCTTGTGGTGGAGCAAGTTATATTGGCTGTTGCTCTAGGAACTTGATTTTTCGTGCTCGGGAACATCTGCCAGTGTGATTAAATCAAGGTGTAGTGAAATCCATCAACATTTCGATATTAGACCACTCCGTCTAAACCGGCCACAAAGCCAGTCAGCAGTGAAGAATCCTGCTCTGTCATCTATCCGTTGCCAGACAAATTGCCAAAAACATCCAAGTACCGTATGCTCCAAGTAGCAAAGGCTATCACGATTCGCTTGAAACTAGTCAAGCCACTACTACTGCGCTGGCTGGTCTTCAATGGACACTATAAATTCATGAATTAGTATTATTGTCTTTCCTAATTTGTGTTTCTGATATTCAGCTTATTTTATGTTGATGCTATTGAGCTGTAATCTAGTGATATTATTATTGATTCGATGTTATTTAAACAACATTAATGTTGTTCTTAATATTATGGGTGCATATGACTGTAGAACCTGATGAAGAAGGAGTTATCGAAACGAATATTCTCTATTCAGTAACCATTCTATTCAAAAATATTTCAATGGACATTTTTTTATTAGTTTCAATTGCATAACAGTCTATTATTGATTATTGAGGTGAAGTTGCATCACTAACGTCGTATTGTCAGTCCAAATATAGAATAAAACGTTTCTAGGGGCCTGAAAATGAAGCAATATTTTATTTACTAATAGAAGTTTTTTTTTAAAAAAACGTTTCTAACTTTGACATGATGATGACAGTCTATTGCGTTTATGAAGTAGCTTACTTAATTCATTATCCAAGTGACAGAAGCAAAGAGATTGTAAAATGCGGGACTAACTCACAGCAATCAATGCCTTTAATTTTTAAAGGATTATATAATTCGACTACAACAAAAGAAATTTTGTGTACACTTGTCTAAGAAAACTATTCTAACTACTTTAAAAAAAACTTGTTCCTTCACTCTTGACTATTGGTATATTCAGCTAAGTTAAGCGATGTGTACTGCTTACTCAGGCTATGTTGTATCGTTTATTTTAAAGACTGTTTTCTCTGATAAGTTCCGACAAGCGATTAACCTGAATGCAATGAATCTTAGAAATTGTGATTCTCCTTACCTTTTTTTACATCAAAATCCAGCGTATCAGATGGTGTTGTATCCCCCTTAGTTGAGTGACCAGAGTGTAAACCCAATGTCATCGACTTTGTTCATAGCTTAGAAATTTCCAGTTAAATCTGCTGTTATTTGGCGGCGAATGCGTGCACATTATCAGTAAATTTGTACAACCCATCTAAGTACATTATTCTCATTGGCAAGTGTGAAAACGTCTTCCTACTGAAATTCGCTCATTCTTGGTAACTAAAATATGTGAAAGATTTCATGTTAGCGACATTCTTATTCGAATGTTGGTTTCTAGTGATTTGTTGATTTCAAGTTAGATCATGAACTGACACCAGTTAGAAAACTATTGAAAAGCAGAGAGTATTGGATAGCTATTTTGTCCCAGTTTGGGACTTTTCATCAACACACACCGATAAGCTCTTTGGGGATGGAAACTCCAGTACCTTCAGGTTACGAGGCGAATTTTCTGACCGGTCAACCACTGAGATGGAATCCAATGGTCAGTAAATAGTAACTTCTGTCAGTTCACGGTGTATAGCGCCACTGTCATCAGCTGATGTCTATCGTCACCCCGGAATCGGTGGACTCCACTGGTCACGATCTCTGACCAGCACTCCAGGCAACATCATTCTGTAGTCAGTCACTACTCAGCATTTGTCTAGTTTTTAGGTGCTGATGTGTAGAGATTGTATAAATTTTGAATTGAGATCGCGAGTATTGTACAGCTATTTCGTCCTAGTTTGAGACTCTTCAGCGGTACGCATCCACCGACAGGGGTTCGAACCCAAGGCTTTCTGGTTACAAGGCGAGCTCGCAGACGAGTATGCCACTTGGATTTGATCCAATGGCCTATGGATGCCAACTTATGCCGATTCATGACATAGCGCGACCACTTCGCAATGTCTTCTTCGATGAGTTGCTGCAACCTGCTTCAACCTGCTGTGCCCTACTGGTCATGACTTCCCACTAAAATCCCAGGTAACTACCTGAATAGGACCAGTCGCTAGTGAGCATCAGATCAATTTCCAACTATTGGTTTTTGTAGGGATTTTTTGGTTTGCTTGGATGGAGGATTTATCTAACTGATGTCAGCTCATGATGAAATCCTCCATCCATCCAATCAAGCAAAAAATCCCTACAAAAATCAATACTTGAGAACGGAAAACAGGTTAGCCCAACCGTTCATATTCGTTGAGTTTCCATATATATATGTAAATTTTGAAGTACTATATATCCTTATATATATATATATATATATATATATATATATATATATATCCTATTTCTTTATAGTTAATAGAACAAAACTGTAGTAAAACAAAACACATATCTGAATATAATGAACTGAAATATGAAATGAAATTAATGACTGAACAATTTACCGCGCAAACAAAACAATTGCATGAAGTTAAACAAACCATTGAATCATTGAATAAAGAAAAACAAACACTTCTTCAACAAATAGATGAGGAAAAACAAAAATATACACAAGTAAGTAAATGTATCACTTTTAAAAGGTATTTTGATTGTTTAAGGTATGAAATATTTCCGTTTAGTATGGATTAAGAGTATTATAATTTAGCATTTTAACCTTCTTGACAGAAGACTTGGAGAACACAGTTGAGCTGCTTTGTTGTCGATTAGAAAACTTTTCATTCTGACGTAAAAAGATTGCCCGTCATTACAGTTAAAATGATTATATGTAGGCTGAACAACGCTGTTTTCAGTTAGATCTTACTCAAGTTTTTGAGACGGTGGATACTTGGTAAGAGTAGGAACAGCACTAGTAAGTGAGTGATGCAGATACATTCAGCTCCAAGTAGGGCGAAATGTGTGTCTTGGATTCAGATGCTTAGGCATTATCAACCAAGTTGTCAATACTGTTGTAAATGGGCGCATGGACTCATGCGAAAAATTACCGAATATTATCTTATTGGACCTTGAGTATCCTTTCTATACACAACTCTCTCCTCGCATCTCATCAGGTGGAACTAGAAGCAATTATGGGAGGTTATATGCTCGGATGACTAAGCAGAAAAAACTCTGCCATGCCTTATTTAGCACATATTGTACGTGATGAGAAAAGTATAAGACAGGATATTACTAAATTACTGCAAAAACATTAAGTAAACAGCTTTTGTAAATCTTTCCTTCATTATTATACTGTTGTTAATATTTTTGTTATCAATTTAAGTGTTCTGTTTTAATCATTATCTTTGTGATGAGAAAATTAAATGCAGTACTGTACTACATGCTGAAAATTCCATATTTTTACCATAATTACTGTTTAGAATAAAGCCATTGTTAATTTTTTGTAATTACTCCTGTACCTTCCTCGTGGAACATAGGGCTTCAAACTAGAAGCTGGAATTTTCGGTAGCAGTGGTGTTTACTTTTACGGGATGGGGTTGCTAGCCTCATGCCCAACCTTCTCTCTTTACCAGTCTGATTACTGACTTAGCGAGGTAAAGGAGTATTTCGGTCAGGGATCGAACCCCGGATCATATGCATGGTCAACGAGACCATTGTTAATATTAACGTGCATTTGAAGTAAATATGATAAATGCCTGAAAGGCGTGAAGATTAAGATGGATCGAAAAGTTTTAATCACTGATTTGTTTATTAAGTTCACGTAAGCCACGAGAGAGCGTCGGTGGCATAGCGGTTAGGACGCTCGCCGACCATGCACATGGTCCGGGGTTCGATCCCGGCCGACGCACTCCTTTACCTCGCTAAGCCAGAAATAATGCTAGTAAAGAGGAAAGGTTGGGCGTGAAGCTATCAGCTCCATCCTGTAAAATAAATACTGCTACAGAAACTTCGAGCCACTAGCTTGAAGTCCTATGTTCCACTGGGGAACGTGAAGGAAAAAAAAGGCACGAGAGAGAGAGACAGAGAAAGCTGGAACCAGCTTTTTTAAACGCACAGACTAGAAATGTCCTTCCGAATTTTCATAGCTTTGACTATACACGAAAGACTAGTTCGAGTTACATTTAAAAGGTTCATTATATTATGACAGATTACTCTGAAACAGCTTCTTTTGTCTAATTAATGACCTATTTCAATCAAATGTGACAAAACTGAGCTTCTCATTGATTTTGTTTTATCTTTCCCTAGTCAAAAGTCAGGTGTTCAGCAGTGAATCTGTTAAGTTGTCTGTTTGTTCGCCCTATGTAACTGTCTTCACAGATGGTAGCTAAGGTGGCGGATGTACGACGTTGTATGTAACACAGCTAGGTAACTTACTTTTCATCTGAATAGTGAAGGTCAGTCGTCTGACAGTATAGGTTCTTTTCATGGTTCCGGACATTTTTTTTCATATACTCAGTGTACTGGCCAAATCCCCATTGAACTGAAGCTTCATGAGTAGTAGTTCTCGCCTGACTGGAATTGGTCTTACTTTATTGTACACTTTGTTCATGTGTCTCCTGATAAATCTATTAGGGCCATCAATTTCAACCAGTGTATTATGGTTATGAAAAAAGTCATTTTCTATGGATTAACCGGAGAAGAAGACTACCAGTTGAGCATGATTTAAACTGAATTCAGCTCTGAACTTATATTTTCTATTCTTTTGTATTCAACTTCATTTATGCTCAGCGGTCGTTATTAATTAGGGATTCGTCTACGCCTTAGAATGGGTATTGCATAAAAGCACTCATGAATTTATATCTACCAGTTCTGATCAGAAAAATAAGAAACCACCACATTGATTCCTCGGGACATTTCCATTCTCTGTTTTTAAGTAACAATTTTGCCTTGTTATCATGTGTCTAAGTCTAATTTTATTTCGGATATGCTCACTTGAGAACGCCGGTTTAAAGACTGACCAACTGAGTCTCAACATAGAAATTTTTATTTATTTTTTTAAATTTTATTTCTGATTACAGCTTGATTCCACACTGTATTTTTCGTGCAAGTATGGAATTTTCAGCGTGGATATCGGTAGCCCAAATTTTGCAGGCCGACCATAGATATCAGGTGTGCGTCGGCGAGGGCTCGAACCTCGGTCCATGTGCATGGTCAGCGAGAGTCCTAACCACTGTGCCACCGACGCACAGAGACAACAAATTTGCACAGATGTGCAGAAGTCCAAGTTGCCATACTCCATGTAGCATACAAAGTCAGAGAAAAAGAGGATTCAAAAGTACCATAATAAGCGGAAAACTACGGAAGAAAAAATAGTATCATGGAGAAACACTAGTTTATTGAATATAGGAAAAGAAAAAGAGTGAATGCATCTGCACCACTGAATACGATTTTTAGCCATATCATCACCAATTGTCTCCAGCGTTCATTAGCTTTTACCATCCCGAGGACCCCATCCAGGAAGCCAGTCTACACCTTCTGACGTGGCTGGCTGACTGGTTGGCTTAAACTAAGTGTTGTGGATTTCATTGGCTGATGAAGACATGTTTTGGTTTGACCACCGCTAGTTCTTTTCCAGCCTGATCCATTGTATGTCAGTCGACATTGCCCATGGTCGAGAAAGGCGGTGGATTGGTGTGTATGCGTAACAAATGTTTTAGGCATCTCATTCGTTGCAGTTTCACTAACTCATGGATTAGCCTACCCTCTTTATCTAACACTCGACGCCTAACCTCAATAATACACATCATCTTATATTACTTGGGATGGGAGACGGAATACAGATACCTATAGTCAAAGACAACTAGCCTTGCCTTTTCATGTCTTCCACTTTCAATGGCTATGTTTCACAGCCATAAAGAAGGACAAAAAGAAATGGTGTGCATTACCCACGTCCTTTGAATGATAACCAGATATCGCGTTAGTTGGCAATTGCCACACGTGGCTTTTTTTATCTATATTAAGATTTCGTAAACAGGGCGGGGCGTATACATATAGCATACAGCCTTCTTCAAAAACTTGCACATAACTATTAGGGGGTTGCTCACTATCTAACTAACCTTGGCAGCTAACCAGAATACCATCAGAGAATATGACAGACCAGGTAGTTCTTTTAAAAGACTCCATGAACTACAAAAATTACTTTTACGTTTCCTTAAACCCTTGTTAAAATCTTTCAGTGGCCGTAAACAAGTTGCTTATAAATGCAGTGGAAGTAGTTTAGTGCTGCTATTTTATTGTATCATAAAATTATTTCCAGTCTAGATAAAGTTACGAAGCGTGTTTTGAATGCTTTCTTGTACTACATTGCTGCTTTTGATTCTTTTTTTTGGGGGCTAATTTCAACACTGGCTGAGTCCTGTATCAGGAGATATTAAAGTCTTTAACGAGAAGCACATCGCTTCATTGCTATAACTAAATCTGATGTGTCTCCGTGTGCTCCATTTCCTCCAGATCTGTTTTCTTTCATTTTTAAATGATTTGTTGTATTCTTTTAATTTAGTAAATATTCTAACGATCTGAAAATCGCTTTCCCAGTTGTTTCTGTATTGTTTCTATCTAAAGTTAACCAATGGGCTTAAGATAAAATCTCAGAATGAACCCCCAATAAAATGCTAGACTATTAGTTTTATTTTGAGGCGTAATCAATACTTACGTTGACTGCTTCTGTCTCGTAAATCTTATAGTATCGATTACACTGTTGTAGAAAGTAAATGGGATGTCTGAAAAAGATCTTTCCTTCGATCTGTTACAATAAGGACATTCAAACTTCCTGGCGCATAACTCAGCCTCTTCGTTTACAATTTTTTCAATTCATGTATTCTACCTATTCTTCTTTATGGTTCCCTCTTATTGTTCTCTGAACTTTTGTTAAAAAGATTATGCCATAAATCAAATGAACTGTAGTCAAGACTTAACAGAATAGTTCTAAAATATTTGGGCGCCGAATGAGAAGTAGATATTTGTAAAAAAAATTATATTTGTAAAATCTCGGCGATATTGAAATGAGTAATTCCAACGTTTCGTTCGGCAATCTGGTTCGAACTTCTTCAGGGAAATTAATCGAAATTAACATAACAGAGGTTTATATATAAAAGGAGCATCTGTTGTTTTTAAAAACTTTGTCCAATCATCAGTCATAAATCAAGTATCGACAAGTATAATAAACAAAACTGTATGAGTTGTGATCAAAATTTGACCTCAGACTTACAAATATTGATCTACCTTTGTTAAACACTTTAAACACAGTGTGCATGTGTGCGGATAAACAGTTGTAAAGCAATGTCTTAACGTCTCCATAAGTAGATATAGACAGTCAGGAACTTTGACCAAGTATTATTAGTTAGTGATACATATCCATTCTTATTTATTAATCAGGATTTCCTATGCCTCAGCTAAAATCACACCTTCATGTCTGTTCAAACTGTTAGTGATTAATTTCCCTGAATAAGTTCGGAGCAGATTGCCGAACGAAACGTTGGAATCACTTATTTCAATATCGCCGAGGTTTTACAAATATAATTTTTGTACAAATGACTATGCCATAACTTGGAAGTCTCTCAGCAGGGTAATTTGTGTGCTTTGGACCCATTCATCTGACACTGTTGTTGATAGACATTTGACGTAAATTAGTTTCTTTTTCATTCTCTGCAGCTGATCGTATATTTCTACTAGTGTGATTTGATAATTTAAATTTTAGCTAGAGGGTGAATTTCACAAGGAATCGAATTTACACAAACAGTCAAAACAAGCACTCACTAATCAAGTAACAGAATTAAACGCAAAATTGTACAGTATAGAAAAATCATTAATTGAAGCAGAGAATCGATATATTCAAGCTGAACAAAAAGCTGAGTTAGCCTGTCAAGAAGCTAAACGACTAGCTGTTGAAATGGCAACAGCTAAAACACTCTCCCAGTTGAAAAATTCTTCAGTCTACATCAATGAACCTATCAATGATGACACAGCTGTAAATCCTTGTATCCCACAAAATAGAAATGTTTATTTGTCTGGTGAACAAACAGAAGAAGATAAGTCATTTATGCCAAGAAATGGAAGTTTCAATCCTTCGTTTAGATTATTTCCAGAGAACAAGAAATTGTCAGCTTCACTTATTAATGGTCATAAAGTAGTCAATTCTAAACGTCATTCTGTCAGTTTTGCACCTTCTCCAATCATTGAAAATCTTGAAAATATCAGACGACCTTCTGATATTTCAACAGATCCTGGTTAGTCCATTAGTGCTTTAAATTAACACTAGGAGTTTTTAATGTTGTCTATGTTTTGGTTTACAGTATTTTTCCCATTTAGAATAATCAAAGCCTCATAGGAAATGTAAAAATCATAAATGAAATTAAATTCCGAATTAAGTGTTATTCAAATGTCATTTTTTGTATGAACATAATTTCAGATAACTATTTATGATTGTATGGAGGATTTCATCATGAGCTGACATCAGTTAGAGAACCAGTGGAAAACCTGGGAGTACTGGAAAGCTGTTTCGTCCTAGTTTGGGACTTTTCATCAGTACGCGCCCACCGACAAGGTTCGAAACCAGGACCTTTTGGTTACAAGACGAGCTCGTAAACCATTGAGCCACTCGGACCTGATCCAAAGGTCCTTGAATTCTAACTTCTGCAAATTCACGACCATTTCGCAATGTCTTCTTCGATGAGTTACTGCCTCATCTTTAACCTGCTGTACCCTAATGGTGACGGCTTGAAACTTGAAACATTTATGAGACTAACACACTGTAATTTGTGTGGAGATCATGCAGTAGTATTGTTTGTAGGGGTAGTATTGCTGGCAGTGGCTTTAAGTTACTTGTTTCACATTTCTTTGCTGCTATACTCTGAGAAAACCATCTAGGGACATCACACACCAGGCCATCGCTCGAGTGGAAGCCGAATGGAAGGCGGCGAGTTGGTCATTAGTGAGTGGGTGACATGAAGGAGGTCGTGTGGAGAGGAGATGAAAGCATGTGGACAGACGTGGAGCCAGGTGAAAACGTTGGTGGAGAATCGAACGTCATGGAGACGTGCGGCTGAAGCCCTATTTTCCTCTAGGAAGTAAAGGAGACAATAATAATAATACATAACCTAGGCTACAGTTCTTATTTTTTTGAAACACTGAATCTTAGGTGGTGACTAAGGCTCATCAGTTAACCAACAACGAACATCAATTATTATCAACGGGGGAAATTTGAAGGAGGTCATCACTCTCTCACTTATCTAAGGAGCATGGTTTCAACTACAGGGAGCAGGAATAAAGATGTCAAATGCAGCTAGGGTCGGAAAAGCAAGAAAAACTTTAATTAATCTAAAATCAGTGTGGAAATCTGCTTCAGAGACTTGTCGCGTCACCAAAATTGGTCCCAAGTGATTTCATACTTTTATCAACAGCTGCCCTTGCATCATCCTGAAAATCAGATGGCCGGTCAGGAAGGAAAATCAACTAGACACTCTGACAACAAACCGACTAAGAACCCGTAGCCCAACAAATATGAAGAATGAAATGGAGACGGATTGGACATTAGGTGAGAAGGCCGTTGAGTAACAACGCGTGCCAGGCCGTGGGGTGGTACCTGAGTGCGATTCAACGAGTTGAGAGTCCGAGGGTGAAATGGAAGAGGTCATGTCAAGAGGAGATGATAGCCTATGTGGAATCGTGAAGCCACTTGAGAAGAGCTGCAGAGAACAAGGTGAATCAGAGGTGTGCTTCTGAATCCTTGTGTTCCACTTGAGACCTAAGTGAATAAGTGCAGTAAGAATAATGTCATGCTCACATTGAAACTTTAAGAAATATATCACATATCATTCGTAGTGCTTATCTTTAAAACGCTTCACTAATATTTAAAGGGAAACTGATTAGTTAGGAAAAGCAATTAACAACGCCGATCAAGACAGATTTCGACAAAAGCTGGTACACTTCGACCTAACTACAACGACCAGTGCCTAGTAATAAAGTTTCTTGTATGAGTGCAACAATTGATGTACGACTGACCTGAGGTTACACAATACCATTCTACTGTCCCGCTTTTTTAAATCATAAATGATCATCATATCCTATCAGAACTCAAACACCGCAAATCCGAGAAAATCTACCAGATCCCAGATTTGTCCTTGATGTCCTTATAAAGGTCTCCGATCTCATATTTAGCTTCACGTAGATTGACCTCACAAGAGATTTCATACGGGAATTAAACTTATATGCTGACAAGATACAGATTGTTCTGGGCAACTGAAGCAACGATTTTGGAGCATACCTAGTAAATATGAATTGCTACTTCATGATTAGCAAGTATCGATACCTCATTTGAATGCAGGGAGGAGACTGTTGGTAATCCACCAGCAATTTCATTTGCCTGAGGAATCTCCCTATCCATGGTGACTTTCTGACTGATGAAGCCTCAGCATAGATACAAAAAGCTTTCTTATCTGTCTTGAAACTACTTCATTTATGGTGCAGAGTTAGGTCTCCGCACTACATCACTAAGCTCTGTTCAGCTGTACGACTACAGAACATAAACAAGTTAGATAACCTACCCAAACCTCTAGGGTTCGACCATCGTTTCCTTCATAACTTTACCTGGGCTCGTTGTAGAAGTTAAACCTAAAGTTGTATGAAAGATGGAATAGTCAGTCAATGATATTATAAATGTCCACTAGTTCACGTGTCTAGGACAAGCACATTGAGCACGTCTACTCACCATCCATCCCATTGTTCTACATTAACAGGTTTGGAGAAAATGAAGAATAATTGGTTTATTATATGGTATCACTTTAGAATACTGTGAGGAGAGCTGGACAGCTATTTCGTCCTAGTTCAACAGTACACACCCATAGCTCCCTGAAGGGTTGGGGTCAGACCTAGGACTTTCAGATTACAAGTTGAGCTCGTTAACAATTCAGCCATTCAGATGAAAACCATAGGTCCATGATTTTTAACTTTACCATTTCATCAATTTATTTAATTATTCTAAATATCATTGTGACTTATTAAGCTGTTTTCTCCTATTCTCCCTCCCCCCCCGCCCCGCTCTTTTAAGCCGGTGACTTAGAAAGTCTGATTCGTCAAGTGACAGATACACTAGATCAGCAGGAGAAGAGTTGATTACCTGTTTTTTATTAAAACGAAAAAAAAGAATAAATACTCTCCATCTGTGATTTTTCTTTTCCCCTCAATTCTACCGTCTTTTTTGACTACAGAATTATTATTTTATAGTGTGCTATTGGATTTTACGGTGGGTTTTTGTTTAGATTGTAAACAAATCTGTTTTAAATTAGAGTGATCAGTGTGTACTAGTTTCTGCGTTCCTGTCAATAAGTACTTTTGAAAGTATACTGTTTTTATTTATTTATTATTATTATTCAAGAAATAAAATATACTTTGTGGTAGAAATCTTCCTTCTTTGTTATCGTTTAATTAACCACTCGATTTAGATTTGCATTTACTGTCTGGTCGTTTTCCCTTCTTCTTCGGAAGTAAGCTTATCACACTGTCTTTAATAAACGGAATATTCCTATCTATCTGTCTGTCTGTTTTCGACATAGAACTTTGCACATATGTGCGGAAGTTCGAGTCGCCACACTCCGTGTAGCACACAAACCAAGAGAAGAAAGTACAAGAAAAGCATAATAGAGACAGTTAACAGAGGTGTGAGACAAAGGAACAGTAGTAACGAAGAACAAAACAGTTTCATTGGAAATCATAAGTCACAAGGAGTGGATGCATCTGCGCCATTGAGAATGATTTTGAGCCATGTTACCAATAGTTTCCAACCATTGGTTTTTACCGTCCCGAGGACCCCAACCGGTGAGGAAGTCTACACCTTCCTACGTGGCTTAGACTAACTGTTGTTGATTTCATTGACTGATGAAGCCATGTTTTTGTTTGACCTCCGCTAGCTTTTTTCCAGCCTGACCCTATATCCGCTAACATTGCCCGTAGGTCGAGGAAGGCGATGACTAGGCATATGTAACACATGTCCTAACCATCTCAGTCTTTGTAACTTCACAACTTTGTCGATTGATTTCCCCTGTTTCCCTAGCACTCGACGCCTAACTTCAATGTTGCTCACCTTATTATGCCACTTTACACGGGAGATAGAGCGCAGGCACCTATGATCAAAGACAGCTAATCTTTTCATGTCTTCCACTCTCAGTGACCAGGTCTCACAGCTAGCCATGAAGAAAGACGGAGCGGACTGATGAGCAGTATACCCGCCCTTTCGTCGATAGCCGGATATCACGTCTACTAAGCCAGAGACGGCGTACACTGGCATATGTGTAACGTGCTGAGGTTTCGTCAGAGTCATAAGAAAAGAAGACGAAAAAGGGAAAGTAAATTTTCCTTCCGATGAATCATTTTTAATAAGCTGTACAATCCTAATTATACATAACAAATAATTCATAAGAACAATCCGATAATGATGATTTTTTTCCAGAGAATGTATTACACAGTGTAAGGTGTAATCTAGAAAAGGATGACTAGTTGGAAATCAGTAGAAGAGGGCAGAAGTTGGGATGTAGTGCTACTGAACGCAAAGCTCTGGTTTCAGATCCCGAATAGCCAGTGATTCACCTATGTACAGATGGCGTATTCTAGGTCCTTTCGTGGGATATTGGGGAGCTTTATGTAACGTTGTGAAGCAGTTATGTGGGGGTACTCGAGGTCCAGAACTGACAAGGTGTTCAAGGGTGCGGCTGTTAGCATTCTTCTTTTCCCTCTGGCTAACCAAGTTGGACAGTGTTCAAGAATGCATTTGGGGATTCGATCTTGCGTACGGCCGATATACTTTGCTGCACACGAACAAGTAGACTGATAAATACACATCGAGGCGGCCGAAAGTGGTATCTTAGCTTAAACGTTTGACTTGATTAACTGTCCATTGGAAAATACCAGTAGTTCCATCCTTCAACAGCTTATCAGTTCTGAACCTCGAGTACCCCACATAACTGCTTCACAACGTTACATAAAGCTCCCCAATATCCCACGAAAGGACCTAGAATACGCCATCTGTACATAGGTGAATCACTGGCTATTCGGGATCTGAAACCAGAGCTTTGCGTTCAGTAGCACTACATCCCAACTTCTGCCCTCTTCTACTGATTTCCAACTAGTCATCCTTTTCTAGATTACACCTTACACTGTGTAATACATTCTCTGGAAAAAAATCATCGTTATCGGATTGTTCTTATGAATTATTTGTTGTGTATAATTAGGGTTGTACAGCTTATTAAAAATAAATGGTTGAGAAGAAAATTCTTTTCGTTGTTTACGTCTTTTCCCTTGAATCGTCGGGTAAAATCAAACTGTAATATTCAGAGGGTTGAGTGAAGTTATTTAAAAGCAATATGAAAAGTGATTTATTGTATTATTATTATTATTAATATTATCCATGTGGCAGTCTGAAATTTAAGACAAAATTTGTTTCCTTGAAAAGCAAGATGAGTAGTGTAGTTGTTTTTCTTCAGTGACAATGAGGAAAATAACATCGTTTCAAATTCTTTATGTTTATAGAGCATTAGGCTCGTGACTTTCTGGATTGTAGTCTTCTCAATCAAATAGAATGTTCAAAGAAACGCAACAGATATATAAATCTGAAGAAACATGACGACAGACGGTTACTTTGGGGTACTTAAGCCGCCATAAACTACGGTAGTATTTCCATGACTTCATTTTGGCAGACCAGGCAGGGGTGATCGGACACCAGGTGACTTTATGGTTGTGTGCTAGATTCGAACAGAGTTGTAAGGTATATGCATGCAGCCCGTTCTAGTGATACTCACTCCTCTCACTATTGTTCAAGCAGTCTGGTTTGGCTTGCCACTAACGGAATTGCTACTATGTATGGTACTGGATGTACACTGACTCCGTGGAAATATACACCGGTTGTAGCGATCATTAGTTGTATGCATCTAGGAAACCATTGTGTAGTATTTTGGGTATTTGACTTTGTTCAGTGAGTCACTCGCCTGCTATGTTGATGGAGAGTACAACCGTCTGCGTGAAATTCTGCGACTAAGAGAGTAAACGGAATCAATATTTACATTTGGTATAAGACGACATAAACAATCAAAGATTAGGAGTTTTCTTAACAAGGCTGCTTCACTATCCAGGTTTTAAGAATTTGGAAAGATACAGGTGAAATAAAATGCATCCATTTTATCATGTTCTGTGTCGTTATTGCTTTTTCATAGTCTAAATTCATTCACTAAGTATTTATTAATACATACTTCCCTCTGTAAATGACAATGAAATTATGTGATTTTTAGACTTCTTAAACTACATGCGAGCGCTTTCCTGATAGACAATTAGGTATCAAGCATGTTGCGGTAAACCATGACTGAGAAGCCGAACACATGTAGGTTGAAATACTTTATCGATAGTGACAATCTCTGCACAAGGGTGACCCTAAAGTTCACATAAAGAAAAGAGCAAAGCTGCTGTTGTGTAAGTGGACCCCATTTTTGGAACTAGCGTTTTCTCTACTATCTGAACCACTACACCACCGCATCGCTTCATAAAATCTGTCCTTAGCTGCTTCCATCTTGTGTTTTCCCTTCTATCGTGTCACTCCTGTAAGAGAAATAGGCATCTGCTTATTATAATTATCTGAACCGGTTGAAAATGCACTGTCATAATCTCTGTATCATTATTCCCGTCTTCTTGTATTTCATACGTATTTGCTGTTACTTTGAGGTTCATCACATAAGGGCCTGTTTACTGTACTTGAAATTTACTCCGATCTCTATTGTTAGTTCCTGGCTGTCATGGCCATACTTTATCATTTGTATTTAAGGGTGCTCCCCACTTCTTATTATCACACATTGTTTCTGTCTCTGTTTTGCTCACTCACGTTCCTCACGTACATAACTGTGATACCTGGCTATATTACCACTCGATCTTAATCCCATTTTGGAGATGGTTAATGGGTCATCCTATTCCGGTTATGACTAACGTATCACTAGGGAGGCGTAACTCACAACCAGTCCGCAGCAGGTACAGCATCTTCCCGTTGACATATGTGTGCTCCCTCTGAATAGTAATAGGCATTACTTTAACAAGGTGTCCCAGGCTGATTCTTATCCCACATATATAATTGTTAACAGCAGTGACTTTAAAGTCTGAATTGTTTGTTCTACTAATCTACTGCTTTCGAGATGACACTCTGTGCTTCTAGACCTCGAAATTCCGAACAAGTGACACCTCTCTTATCAAACGGCTTTCGAAATTTGTTCCTTGACCACAATGTAGTTGTTCTGATGCACTCTGGCGGGCGCTCCAACAATCAAACGTGGCTGTAGTTACTGCAGAAACATAAGTTCATCAAGGGGCACAGCCTCGCACCATTTTTCAAGTAGTCGGTAATGACTAAGATGTATCTGCTACCACGTGGAGATCCTGTAATATCCTTGCCAACCAATTCATTCGAATATCCGGACTTCATGTTAACAAGTGGTTCTCTAGTTTTCTCTGTGGGTTCTTCACCTTACCATATTCTGCAGACCAATGGGCTGTAATCCCAGTCGTCAAACAGTAATCCGAAACAGGGAGCAAAGCGCACGTTAGCGGGGTAATCACTCAAGTTCAGCGTGCTAGTAATAACAAAGACTCAAGGTCAAGGATTGTATTTACAACTAATCATAATACAATTAGGTGAGAGGGGAAGGGTATTCCTACTGGCCATCCGCTGCGTCGTCTTGGGCGACTAATCTCTGCATGCCACTTAGTCAACCTGAAATTAGACAAGCATAATTTAAACTTTGGAAAACCGCCTAACTTACCACTTCTTACGCTACCTGCGGGAAATCAAAAATTCAATTGACCGCCACTGTTCCAGCAAATCAAAGACTGGCAGAACAGAAGGAAGACAAATTTAAGATGTGGCAGAGTTTATCCTCACCCTTTTTCACCAATATCCACTTATTGTGCTCTACTATTCTAGCGTTAACAATAATGGGTCGAAACTCTTCAACACCAGAAATTTAGAAAATAGCATCCAGTATCCTGATTACGAGCTAGTATAAACCAGTGATTTCTTTGAGCTCGCTTCTTGATTGTGAGGTAGAGGTTCCAGATCTTCGGTGAGCTTCTGCGTAGTAAGTCCC